ATTATTATTATTCGTATTCTTTTTATTGTTATTATTGCTATTTTTATTATTACTATTATGGTTTTTATTATTATTACAATTATACTTATTAATGTTATTAGGGTTATTCTATTATTTATTAAGTTTTTTTATTCTATTCAGATATATAATTTTATTAATATTTTTCTTAAATTATATCATAAATATTTATTTTTTGTTCTTATTAAATTAGAATTTGTTAATTTTATATTTTTTATTACTAATCAATTTAATTAATTTGTTATTAATTATTTTTTTGTATATTTTTTTTATTTTACTATTAATTATTTTAATTAAAATTTTTTTATTTTATGTATTCAACAGTTCCATATTCCTATACTTAATCAGTAAAATTTTATTAATTATTATTATTAATTATATTTTTATTTGATACTGGCGTTCTAACGCTATTTTTTTTCGTATAAATCGAATATTCTCTTATAAATTTGGAATCCTCCCTTTTAATTTTTGATTAATATGATTTATTTTCTATTATAATTGTTTATGTTTGAAAACTTCTATTGCTTACAATATCTAAGCATTCATTATTTTTTTTGAATTATTTTATTTAATCTATTACTTTATTTAATAGATTTTCTCTTTATTCGAATTTATATTTACTTGCTTCAAATTTACTACATTCACTAAGACTATTAAGAAATTAAATTTGATCTGTTTATACTCTTTATGCTGTATATAATAAACAATTGTCTTTATTTTTATTTTTTTAAAGCTCCTTTTAAAATAATATTATTTTTATTTTTCATTTGATTTATAATTACTTCAATATTCAATTTTTATACATATTAAAGTAACTAACTATAATTATCATTTATAAGCAAGAGTTAAATAAATTTCTAAAATTAAGGCAGAATTTGATTTTGTGGATCGGTAATTGCTTTAGTCATTTTATCGAAAAATATTTTTATCGACTGGATTAATATAAAAGAATCACTCATTTTTCGTTTTTTTACTTTTTTATTTTTGTATATAATAAATATATTTATTGTGAAATTAAGGAAATTAATAATCATAAAATATTATTTAATTAAAAGATCAAATAAAAATATTTAATAATAAAATTTAATTAGTATATATATATACTTATGCTCCATATTAGTTTTTTATTTAAATTATTTTTAATATTAATTTAATTACATAAATTTTTAGTATATAATTATTTTCATGAAATACTTTTTATTTATATTTTTTATTTTCTTAGCTTTTATGTATGTATATTTATATATTTTTCATTATACTATTTATTTCTTTTTAATACACTTTCTAAATATGATTAAGGACTATTTTTTATTTTTATTAATTGTTATTAATCTTCCTCTTGATTATTTTATTAAATTGAGTTATTTTTTTTAATATTTATTTTATTTTTATTCATATTAAAAGTTTCTCTTTAATTTCTTACAGATGAAATTCTAAAAAATCCCTTTTATAAAAAAATATTTAATAAATAAAAAAAAAATACTTTTTCATCTTGTCTATTTATTATTTTATATTTTTTATATTCTTTTTCATTTTTTTAAATATAAGAAATTGAATTATTATTTGAATAAAGTTCGTTAAGTTTTTTTTTTATTACCTGCTATTACTAATTATTTTAGTTAGACTATTATTTTCTTAATTTTTATATTTTAATATTTTCGAACCTAATTTTTTAACAATTTTTTTTTTTTCATCATTATATTAATAATTTTATGATTCAAAAGTATTTCTTAATTTTTCTTCTTAATTTTTTTCATTTTTATATTTTTAATCTTCTTAACTTTATTAGTTATTTTCACTTTATTTATAATTTTGTTCGTTTAATTATTAAATTAATATTTTTTCTTATTAACCTTTTTATAAAATTTAGTCTTTTTATCTTAATTAGCAATAAAACGAAGGTTAATTAAATTATTAAGTTACACTTCCACTAAGAATGATATTTTTATGTAATGAATTTTAATTATTTAAACTAAATTTTTTCTAAAGCATTCTAAATGTACTTTTTTTAATGTTCTAAGAATTTTATATCAAACCTTGAAATTGATTAGTATTATTATTATTATTATTATTATTATTATCAATATTAGAAATTTAAAGAGATACGAATTTCTTTCTAAATTTTTATGAATGTTTTTCTATTTATAATTCTTTAGAAGAATCTTATTTTGGTAAATAATAGTCATCTCTATATTGCCTGATTAGACTTTAAATGCTCAATGAACTTGCTCTTTATTTAATTACATTTTATAAATTCCCTTTTTATGTTTCTAATAAATTTTGTTATTTTAGTTCTTTTATTATTGTTTCTGGATTTACTCCTAAGTATTTAATATTTCTTTATTAGGAGTTTAGTGCATTTAAATGCTCTTATTTTTTGTTTACTATTTAATCTATTTTTTACTCTAAGAAAGAAGTAAGAAATTAATCTTTTTCTAATTATATTTTTTGGTTAGACTTTAATTATTATTAGCTTTATAATAAATCTAAACTTCTTCTCTTAAAATATACTTCTGTTTAATTTTAATCTTTTTCTTTTTCTCTTTATATATAAGATATCATTTAACTTTCTTTGTTATCAATATTATTGATGTTTTTTATTAGTTTTAATTATAATTGATTGTTTAGATCGGCCTTTTATTTCAGTTCTTTTAAAAAAAGATTTTGATTTATTTATTATGTTTCTTCAGAATAGCTTTGGTTTATTTTTATAATTAATTTATATCTTTCTTTCAAAAACTCATTTTTCTAATAGAATAGTTTTAAATAATTAAATTCACTATCAAATCCTTTCATAAAATCTTTAAATTTCTAAAAATATTATATTTTTTATTTTATTTTATTTTTATTTTTTTTAAAAAAAATTATACTTACTTCGATTTCAAGGAAAAAAATAACTGCTTTTTAAGATTAAACCTAAATTTTAGTATTTCTATATTGTTATTCTAAACAAATAGGTTCATATTCTCCAAAATAGCTTCCAGTTGAAAGAATAATAAGAGAGATTTCTTTATTTTTGGAATAACTTTAAATAAAGGAAGCTTATTCCTTAAAATTTTAATTTGAGTATTTAAGTAAATCTTTATAGCAAAAAAGTTATACTTGTCCATCATAAACAAAATATAAATATTTACAGGGATCATTTTTTTAATAAATAACATTTTTAGATTCAAATGTTTTAATTTAGATCATACGAAGAATTGACGTAATTTTCGAGTCATCTAATTTATTAAAAAAAGGAAAAGATTTTAAAAAAACAACTTTCTTAAGTAATTCTGCACTATTGAAAACTCCCATAATTTTATTGAAACCTTCTCTTGATAAAGTTACCATTTCACAATCTGTTCTGCATATTATTGTTGTCGTTCTGGCCGACTTTTTCAATAAAGCTATTTCACCAAAACCTTCTCCAGGAATGTATAAACGAAAAGGCTTTAGGAATTAATAAAGTGATTTGTAATATGTATATTCAGTATCTTTAATAGAATCTCTTGTATTTAATTGAACATTATTTATTGTATTTATTGGTATAGATTATTCTTATTATTATATTTATTTATTTTCTGATTGTTATTATTCATTTTCTTAATCTTCTATTAAACATAGGGTTTATCCTTTTATTAAAATATAAAACTTTTTTCCGAAATCTCCTTTTTGGAAAACTATTTAAGATTAAGTAAAATATTCATATTTAAATTCTTTAAACAAATTAGGATTATTATCTAAATCTAAAATGATATGTATATATTCCTTAAAAAATTATATTTATTATAAAAATTTAATAACAAATCTTATTTCTTTTTTAGTAGGTTTATGTTAAGATAATATATTTTATATAACCTATTTATTTTATTATTAAAAAAAAAAAAATGCTTTATATTTATTTTTACATTTTTATCTTCTTCATTATTTATATCAATTATATTTTGATCTAATTTACGATCATATTTATGTTATTAAAGCTTTTGAAATTAGGTACTAACAGCAGTTACTAAATCATCACTTGCAATATAGTTATGGACTTTTTGTATTTATATTTCCTATAATAATGGGCTTTAATGTTTCATTGTTAATTATTTTTTTGATAAATTATAAGGCAAAGCTTGATTTTCGATGTTTTATTAAGTATTTAATTAATTATTTTAATCTGTTTATTCAGACATTATTATATTCTTGTGCTTTTTTTCAGTTATTAAGACAAAATAAGTTAAATTAATAAAGATATTTATAGTAAAATAATTAATTATCAATAAATAAAAAATATTGTTAATAATAGCCTTTAAATTTTTAATAATATTTAATTTTTTAATTTTAGAGTATTGAGAAATTGTCAATAAAATTAATTTTATTTAAATTTATTTTATAATTATTAAAAATAATATTGTAAAAGCTATTATTATGTATAAAGATATTATATTTTTTAAAATTTGAAATTAATAATAATATATAAACTATTATTTATATTAGAAAATAATGAATATGTATTTTTTTTTTTTTTTATAAAATAACTTAAAATTTAATTAATTATATAGTTAATTTTATATCACCTGATGATTGTAAGGATTTTATTTGTTAATGAATATTTATATAAATGAAAATTAAAATATGTTTTGTTTTTATTTGAAAATAAAAAAAAAAAAATTAATAAATTTATCACATTTATTGTAAAAATAAAATAAAAAAAATCTTAAATTAATAAAATATCTTAAATAAAATTAAAATTATACTTTATTAAAAAAAATGTATTTAATAAAATATAAAAATAATAATAAATTATCAAACAAAAAATATTAATATATAATATAAAAGTATATATATTTATTTTTTTAAAAAAAATTAAAAATAAATTTATATCATTTCTTATCAAATTAACTTTTATTATATTGATAAAGTAATTAAAAAAAAAATATAAAATAAAATATTTTTAAATCCAAATTTATTTAATATAAAAAAAATAAAATATTAAAATAATTAATAAAATATCACATATTTTATTTAATTTTTTTGATAAGATTAGCTCTTTTTTATTTTTCTTCATCTGAAATTTATGAAATTTGGCTTTCTTCAATAAGAACTTCAGCTTCATTATTTTATTAAATTTTCTATTAAAAATTATAATAAAAAAAATATATAAATAAAAAATTAAAATACTCCAGTTTATTTGTATTCTTTTAGTTCTTCTTCTCTTTATAATTATTTCTTTTTTCTTAATAATTCTCTTTAGGCAAGTAGTCTTTATTTTCTTTCTTATAGTGTTTCTCCTTTTGCATCTTCTTCTTTTTTTTCTGGAATTTGTTAATTTTTTAGTTTCTCTTCAACAGCTTTGTAGGTATTCAATTAAGTGAGTAAACTATCTCTATCTTTTAGTAAATCTTCAATAGGTTTTTCATGTTTTTTATCAGAAATAGGAGGAAGACTATATAAATTAGATTTAATTGGAGGTAATTATTTCTCTTCCTTTTATTCTTCTATTTTTAGTTCATCAATTTATTTTTAGACAGGTGGTTTTTATGTTTCTTCTACTTTTTTATCAATTACTGGTTATTTTTGTATAGTTTATTAAACATTATTCTTTTCTGAAGATTTTGTTAACTCTTGTTAAACGACAGGTTCTTTTTTAGCTATAGCTTCTTATTAAACTAAGGGATCTTTTTAAATAATAGATTGTTATATTTCTATAGTAGGTAGATTTTATTTTATATCAGTAGAATGAACCTTTTAAGATTAAATTTTAGATTGTCTCAATTCTTCTTCTTATTAATATTAAATTTTAGACAACTCAAGAGCTCTCATTAAATCTTCATCTTATGCGGATTAAAGTTTTTTCATTTCTTCTTCTAATGCTAAACTCATTTAAATAGCATGATCTATTTCCTTTATAGTAATTTGATTAGAATAAATATATATGTAAAAATATATATATAAATAAATATAAAATAAATAAATATGTATATATATATATATATTTATTTATATATATATAAAATTTATTAAATATATTTTTTTATATATTTATAAATATTTATATTTTATTTATATATATAAATATATTTATATATAATTTTTTTAACAGCTTTTTCAGCTTCTAATTAAGCTTTTTTTAATTTATTTTTATCATCTTCAGTAAACTCAGTATTTTATTGTTTTTATAGCTCTATTAAAGCTTCTAATTCTAATTGTTTGTTTCTTTTTACCATCATCATTTTAAAAGCAAGGAAATTATCAACAAGTATAAGTTATTCGAAAATTTTAGAATGACGTTTGTTTTATAAACCTATCTCTATATATTAAAGTAGTTTATCTTAGGAAATTCCTACTTCATTCATTAAATCTTCAATTTATTTTTCTATCATTTTCTTAAATTCTTTATGAAGGTCTGTATAACTATTTTTTTTTTTTATTTTTGTTTTGTTTTTTTTTTTTTTTTACGCAAATTTATTTTCTTCTTCGTCATCAAAAACAATACAATTATTATCAATAAATTCATGAATAGGTATTTTCCACAATGGAGATACTAAATATTATAGTAAATATTCATAAAGCCATTGCTGTTTTTTATATATAAAAATACAAATAAAATTTAATTATTGATTTTTTTTTTTAGTAAACTTACTTCTTCGATTAATTATTATTAGGTTCTTTGTACAGGTTATTGAGCATTTTACTATTCATTTTATTAAAATTAAGTTTATGATTTATCAGTTGTTTGTTTTGTATCTTTTTTTTTTCCAAATAGCCAATTAAAAACCATTTTTCAAGAAATTTTTTTTTTTTTTTTTTTAATTTAATCTAAAATGATATTTCTTTAAATAATTTATTTAAGATAATTTTAATTATTTAATTTTTTTCCTATAATTATGTTTATTTTTTTTTGTTAACATTTTTATAATCAATTTTATTTAAAGATTAAATTAATTTATCTTTGAAACTAAATAAATATTAATTTTATAAAATACCTTAAAAAATATTTGTTTTGTTATTTTTCTTTTTAAAAAAAAACAAAACAAAATAACATGTAGAACTATAAATCAAAACATATTAATTGTGTATAAATATATATCCTATAATAATAATAGTTTATATTTAAATTTTTATATTTAATTTTTTTATAAAAAAAGAAATAAATCATTGCTTAAGAAAAGATTATTAGCTTTTAACTGAATTTCTATTTTATAAAGTATTTTATTTTTTATTTAACTATGTATAATTAGATAAGATTTTAGTTAATTCTAAATTATGTTAATCATATTCTTCTTCAGTAGGCATAATTTTATCAAAATCATTATCTGTAATTAAAGTTTTCTAGGTGAAAGAATCTTTTTTTATTTTAAGTTATTATTAGTATTCAAGAAAGGATTTTAATATATTAGTATTTTAAGAGCTATCTTATTTATTTTTTTATACAAGAAGAAATAATTTATAGCAGGTATCTCCAAATAAATTAACTATTTGTTAAACAATAATCGAATTGTTAGAAGATAAATTATTATTAAGTGTAATATATATATCAACTAAATTATTATTGAAATTTTAGCATGTATTTATAAGTGTATTAAGATTATCATCTCCTAATTTTAGAAAATCTTCAATGATTCCAGATCGGCAAAATAACTAATATATAGTTTATCTGGTAAAAAGGGAAACTATTTATATCATTTTAAAATGAATAAACTTTAAAAGTATGAGGAAAGTCAATCTCGATTATAAAGGAAGAGATATATCAAGTATTTTATATTTATATTCTTATATATTAGCTACACTTTTCATTACTTATTTATAATTCTTTAAATTGCTATAAAAATTATATGTTTTTATCGCTAAATCAGCATCGCTATTAAAAAAATTTATATTATTAATATTATTATTATTATTATTATTATTATTATTATTATTATTATTATTATTATTTATTATTTGTTTTTATTAATAAATTAAGATGCTTTTATTTTATTATTTTTTATATTATTTCATTTATACCTTCTATTTTTTATAAGTTATTAGGAGAATATGCTATTTATGATCTTTCTTTATAAAACCATTTTGGAACATCACCTTTGATATCTTCATCTTCAATTTCGTCTATTGAAATTTTACTTTCATTAAGCATGTTATCAATTATAATTAAAGAATTTGTATTATTTTCATTTAACATTAGTTTATTTTTTAATTTAATTAATTTTTATTGAATTAACATTTTTGGTTTGGAAGAAATATTAACTATATTATGATTAATATTTTTGTTTATTTCCTCATCTTCTAAATCTAAAGGAAAACTGTCTGCAGAATCATCTAAGTTTTCATCTTCTTGATAAGTTTTTTCCTTTTATTTAACTATTTCTTCTTTTCCTATTTCTTCGCATTTATTTATCTGTTCATTATAATATCCATCGAAGGCATTTTTTTATTATAAGAGTATTATTTTTTTTATTACAAGGTTTTTTTAACAAAGATTATATGCAGTTTTTCCATCTGCCCTCCTTTGAAAAATATCAGCTTTGTGTTTTAATAAAATAAGGACTATTTTTACATAATTATACTCACTTGCAATATGTAGAATTGTATTTTTTTCAATTCCACCTGCTTTATTTAACATAAAACCTTTTTTAGGAGAAACATTATTATATTAAAGTGCAAATTAAACTGCTTCAATGGATCCTTTTTTAACTGCCAAATGTAAAGGAGTCCATTTTTCGTTATTTTCGAGATTTGGATTGGCACCATTATCAAGTAGTATTTGCGCTATTTTTGCTGATTCTTCTGGATCTTTAATAAAATTAGAAAATATAAAATGCAAAGGAGTATTTCCTTCGGCATTAGGTTTATTTACTTAAGCACCAAATCTTATTAAATCTCGAACAAGAAAATATTAGACTTTACAAACTCCTAAAGCTAAACAAGATCCGTAATTTCCGCCTCCTTTATTACAATCTACATTGTTAAAAATAAGAATTTTTGAGGCAAAATATTTCTCTTAAAAAATAGATAAGGATAAAGGAGTGTGGTTTTCATTATCTAGTTAGTTTGAAAGTTAAAAATTTAATTAAAGAAGAGATCTTAATACTGATATGTCTTCTTAAAGTACAGCTTAATGCATCATGTTCCGGTTTGTTGGAGAATCTTTTTGGTTGTATATATCTTTTTTAGAAAAATCATTTAATTATTTTATATTTTTATCAAGATAATCGATACTTTGAGAAATTGAATCATTTAGGTTTAAATCATTTATACTGCTTTTTTGAATTTACTATGTAGCTTCTAAAGAATTACTTATAATACTATTATTATTATTATTATTATTATTACTATTATTATTATTATTATTTTTATTATTATTTTTTTTATTACTACTATATTTTGAAGATGTTGAAGAAAAATTAATTATACTTTAATTTTTGATATTATTATTTATAGTTGTGGTACTTTTTATTAGTTTGCGAGATTTTGTGTTCATTAGTTTTTAATTTAAATTATATGATTCGTCTATGCAACTTATATCAATTAAAGATCTACTATAATTAAAGCAATCTGTAACTTAGTTCTTGAACATTTTATTGCTTTTTTTTTATTTTTATAAAGGCAATTAAATGCCATCTCCTTCTAAAGGCATACAACTATCTTCTATAGATGTATTTGTTGTATTAATTATTACATTAGTAGTTTTATTTTTTTTTTATTTTTTATGAAGAAATTATTATTAATATTATTATTTTGATATTTACTTTAAAGAAAAAAAATTAGTGAATTAATAAAAAGATACGAATCCATTTTATGAAAAATTGTTTAATAAAATTTACATTTATTATATAATTTCTTTAGCTTCTTTTCCTTAAAAATGCTGTTTTTGAGGAGGCAGGCAATATTTGAACCAATCAAATGAAATTTCATTTAAATTTGAAGTTATTTGTAAAATTTCAGTTGATAATTCCAAAAAATCATTAGAGGCAATGTTTAAGGCATTTAAATTTTTTAATAAAAAAATATTTTTATTTAAATTATTTATATGGTTTATTGAAAAATTTAATCTTTAAATACATTCTTTCCATTCAATAATCTCGTTCGGGATTTCATTTAGTAAATTGTTTTGGATTGAAAAAGCTTGAAGTTTTATTTAAGTAAATAACTCTTTTGGAATTTATTTTATCATATTATTGTCAAGTTTTAAATTTCTTAAATTTTTTAAAGTTAAAATTATGGAAGGGAACACAGAAAACCGATTTGTGCTAACATCTAAAATCTATAAATATATATAGTCGGTATTTTAAGGCATGGAATTTATATCTAATAAACCTTTATTTACTAAATTTACAGCATATTATGCTAAAGAACTTTAATTTCGTTTAGAATTTATATTTCCTAAACTTGAAGATCTAATGCTAACGTTTTATGATTAAATGCTTGAATGTATTTATATCTAGTTAGGCTTTTGTTTTATTTAACTTTATAGAATTTTTATACTTAAATTATTTTACTCAAAGTGTTGGATTTCATCTAAGTTCTCTTTTATAAGAGTATTTTTTTTTTAATGTTAATGTTGTGGATTTTCGTATATTTTAAAAGGTTTTTAATGCAATAGTGTACTTTTTTAATGTTGAAATTAAAATGCTTCTTTTGAATATTTGTTTGATATTATAAGGAATTTTTCTATGTTTTTATTGTTATGATGGTAACTTTTACTTGCTTGATTGCTAGGATTATTTGTTGGTGGTTTAGAGTATTTTTATATGTTTATTGATGATGATGGAATTTTATTCATTTTTCTTAATTTTTTTTTATTATTATTTTAAAATAGTTTTTTTTTTTTTTTTTGAAAAACATAATAATAATATTTTAATAATTTATTTTAATAATTATTAAAGTCATTTTTATATGTATAGTTAGTTTCTTTCTTTAATTTATTAATATTATAAATTTATTTATTAAAAAAACATTTTATATGTATTTATAGACAATTATATTCAAGTTATAAAAATTTTATTGTTAATTTTTTTAAAAAATATTATGATATGTTAAACATAACTATTTATTATATAATATATTTGGTAAAAAATAAATACATTTAATATTTATTTTTTTATTTTAAAGAAGTTAATAAAATTTATTTTACAGATTTTAATAATTTTTTTATATTTTTAAAAAAACAAGCAAAAACATTTTTTTTGTATAAATTTACTTGTTTTTAAATGAAAAGAAAAAAAAAAAAATTAACCCACTCTTAATTAATATATATATATATGACAAAAATTTTAAGTTAATAATTATTAAAGATAAAAAATTATTATTATATATATTAATATAAAATATAAATATAATAATATAAAAAATTCATATATTATATTATTAAATTATTGTACTTAGAACAAACAACTTTCTTTATTTACTATCAAAAGCAAGTTTATTAATATTAACATCAGATTAAATTTCTTTGAATTTTTCCATTCCAACAAGTAACCAAAAGCTAATAATTTGACTTTTCTAAGCTACAACAATTTAATCACAATAAGGTATATAAATTATATCCAAAAGAATATCACTTATACTAAATTACCTTAAAAAAATTAAAGTGGAGGCTTCCCAAATTTTAACAACCCCTTCTTTTCCTGCCGAAATTATTAAAGGCTAGTCACTTCTTCTTCTAACGAAAAGGAGTTTAATGATTCCTACTTTATGCGCTTGAATAGATTTAAAAAGGCAAAAAGTATTCAATTCCCAGGCACAAATATAACTCTAATATCCAACTAAAATACATTTTTCTTAAAGTAAAAGCATAGTTTCGACTTTTTCGTTAAATTAAAGTTCCTAAAAGAAAGATTTTTCTTATAAATTCCATATTTTTACGATACCATCTTCTCCTCCACTAAACGCAATTTTTTCATTCTATAATATTACAGATTGGACTGCTTGGCTATTCCCTTCATAGGATGAATGTTTAAAATTATATATACATTCCCATTAGTTGTTATTTATTAATCTCCATATTTTAATATTTCCATCAGAAGATCCAGAAGCTAGCATTTTAGAATTTTCATAGTAAGAAATTGAAATAACTGCTTTTTGATGTCCTTCTAATGTATGTAATAAATTTTATAAATAAAAGTCGCCTTTTGACCATATTTTTATCGAAGAATCATCACCACAAGTTATATATTTATCGTTTTCAGTTAATAAGAATTCCCTTATTTCTTTATTGTTGTGAAATGTTTACTCTATTTTAAGCTAGGAATTATTTATATATTTTAATATTTAATTATGATTTTATTGAATGTATTAATAATTATCTACATTTTTGTTATTGTTTGATTATATTTAAGATTCTTTTTATATAGTATTATATACACTTTTATTAATTTATGAGTTATTTTATATGTAATTACTATTATTTAAAATATTGTTAGTGTTTGAAAATAAGATTTAATTATTTATTGGAGTTATTTAATTTGATTTTTAATATTAAGATTGATTTAAATTAAGGTTTTATTAATAATTACTATTATATTTTTATTATTCGATATTCTATTAATATTTATTAGAAGTTTATTAATTTAAAATATTTTATTGGCGTTATTATAATTATTCTGAGTTAGATTAATTATTATATGGAGCTTATGATATTTTGTTATCGATATGAAAAGCAGTTTATGAATGAAAATTATTTTAATTTTATTAAAATGTTTTGTTTTAATTTTAATAATTGATATTATTATTAGTCTCTTAAAAACTATTGTACTTACGATCATTATTTTAGTTTTAAATATTATTTATTTAATGTTAAAGATTATTATGTTAAAACTAAATATTACTATTGGAGTGTTAAAAGCTATTATTTTAATTTTAAATATTATTATTTTAAGAAGAAAAGCTATTGTTTAATGTTTTATAATTGCTTTAAATTTTTTAAGTTTAGAAGTTATTTTATGTTGAAAAATTATTTAATGTATTTAATTTATTTTCTATATATTATTTTTAAACTATATTATTTTAGTAACTATTTTTTTTATTATTTTATTAATTACTATTTATGATACTATTTTTTTTATAAGAATCTTTATTTGTGTCTATTTATTATTACTATTAATTGTTTTAAAAATACTTAAAATGTAATTATTATTATTAAAAGTTTTATGTATTTTTTTATTAGTTGATATTTAAATATTATTTTTTAATATTATGATTAGAAATAAATGTTTTCTAAGAAACACAACTTTATTTGACTTAATTTATTAAGAGAGAATTATTTTAATCCAATTTAGAAGACATTAAAGGCGATTAATTAGGTGAAATGCTTTTATTCTTGTTAATAATGTCTCTTAAAAAAAAGGAAGAGTCTACTTTTTTTTCATATTCATATGTAACTTCATATTCAGCAGGAATATATTAAGAATTATTACATGAATTATTTTAACTTAATAATTATAATTATTATTATTATTATTATTATTATAATTATTATTATTATTATTATTATTGTTAATCATTATTTTCATTAGAATTTTTTTTCTTTTTCTATTATTATACATATTTATAAATTCCATCGAAATACTTTTAAATGTCTTTAGATATTTTTTAAGTTTCTGTTTATAAATTTTCTTTTGTAAGTTCAAATTTTCTAACAATATAATTTATATTTTTTATTTCATCATCTTCTAACAAATTCTAGATTTAAAATTATATAAAACCGTTTTGATTTTTCGAAATTATTTATATTTTTTATATTAATTCAAGTGTATTCTTCTATAAATCAATTTTGTTTTCTGTATCATTTAATATTTTCGAATATCTTTCTTCTATTTATCTGATATTATTTATTAAATTATAATCTGCCTAAAAAATTAATATTATTTTTTCTTTAATTTTTTATATTTCGTTTTGTATTTATTTTTCGAAAAACTAAAACTAATTCATTATTTCTTAATGACAAAATTCCAAATTTTATTTTTTTTGATTTAAGTTTTCTTTCAAATTATTTAATATATACTTTTCTTTAAATTAATGAATGAATGTTTCGAAAAGAATTATTTGATGGTTTTGATGATTTTATTCATAACATTTCTAACATAATAATCCGTTATTAGGGCAGTTTTTAAATATACAAATTTAATCTAATGTGTATTTTTCGTGTCCTTTTTAAATACAATATTATAATTATTACATACAAAAAAGTTTTTTTATATTTAATATTTGCTATATTTAGATTTTTTGTTAACAATATAATATTTGTAAAGTTACTAAATAAATAATTAACTACTTTTTTTATAAATTATTATTTAAAAAATATACTAGATAAAAATTTAATTATATGTATTTATAAATATATAAAGTATTTAAACTTATATGATAAAACATATTTACATAAATATATTAGATAACCTAATAAATATATAAAATAAAAATTTAATATAAAGAATAAATAAAATGATTTTTATTATTTATTGTTTTTTAATTAAAACTAATATTAAAATAATCTCAAATTAAAGTTAATATTTTATAGACTAAATTCAACAAAAAATATCAACGAATAAATTCTTCTTATATAGTATTAAAATATTAATACAATTTATTTATAAACTAATTATCTTATAAAGACTTTAATTAATTTTTAAATATTATTAATACTTTTTAATTTTATTTTTTATTTTATTTAACTCAAATTATCTTAACTTAAACTCATATTTTAGAAATAAATAACATATGAAAAATATCTGTATTCATTGATGTATTTTATTGATTTTTCTACTAGCTTTCTGATATTTTTATGTATAATTTTGATTAAATTAAAGATATTTTTTAATCAAAATTATTATTTATGTACTTTATAAAGCGTTTTTAATTTAGAGTTATATATATTATTCTTTATTTTTTTTAATTTTTTTTTATAAATATTTTTGTTTTAATTTTTCATTAAGATTATAATTATTTAAAATTATTAAGAATTAAATGATCTTTTAAAAAAATTTTAAAAAATAAGAACAGAGTGATTTGGAATTTAATATATTCTTATAACAATTTTGAAAACATTAAATTATTTTATCAGACATATTATTTATTTAAAAAATGTATTTATTTATTTATCCTATTAAATAATATATTTTGAATATACTTATATTAAAATAGATAATAAAATATTATTATATTTTAGCAGTAAATAATGTTAAAATTTAAGATGATGAAATTCATAATTTTTTCGAAAAATATTTTATATTTTAAAAATATATATGACTAATAATTATTATTTATCAAAAAAAATATATTTAAATTATTATGAATATAAATTATATTTGATATAATATCATGCAAATATATATATTATAAAAATAAAAATTTAAGATAGAAATACAAAACATTTAATATATACAAACATATATATATATATATATATTATATATATATATTTATATATATTTATATATATTTATTTAATATTTAATATATAAAAATTTTTTTAATTATATATCTTTGAAATTCATATATAATTTTTAATTTTTCTGTCTAATAGTTAATTTATTCTTTTTTTATAGTTTTTATTATATAATATTAATACAAATTATCAATATATTCCTCAAATAAAGTTATTTTTAAATATTTATAATTAAATAAAACTAAGTAAATTTAAAATATAATATAATTTATTTTTTAATAAAATATTAAAAAAAAAAATTTCTAAATGATTTTTTTGCACTCAAATTAAAGCTTCCAAATAATTATTAAAATATTTATTGTTTTTGGCGCCATAACAAAATTATATATATAAATAACAAAATAATTGATAAAATAAATATATTTTAATAATAATATAATATAATGGATATAGAAGTACCTTCTAAAGTAAAATATTAATATTTATTTTAATAAACTAAAAAAAAAAAATTATAATAAAGAAACAAATACAAAAAAAAGATATTGAAAATATTCCTTGGGTAGAAAAATATAGACCAGATACACTTAAAGATTTAATTTCACATGAATTTATTGTTATGACAAGTATTTATCTATAAATAAAAAGGCATTTAATTTAAATAATAAAAATATAAAAGTTACAAAATTTATAAATGAATAAAATAAATTACCTAACTTGTTATTCTATGGTCCTCCAGGAACAGGTAAATATACAAAAAAATAAAAAATCTTATAAAAATTAAAGGAAAAACATCAACAATAGTAGCCATTGCTAAATAATTATATGGAAACAGCTATAAATAAATGGTTTTAGAAGTAAATTTAAAATTAATAAACATCTTTTTATCTATTAATAACATAAAAAGCTAAACGCATCAGATGATAGAGGTATTAATGTTGTAAGAGATCAAATAAAAACATTTGCTGGGACTGCAAATTTTTCCGCTGCAGGAAAAGGAACAAAATTAATTATTTTAGATGAAGCCGATTAAATGACAAACTAAGCTTAGTTTGCATTAAGAAGAAGTTATTTTATTCATTTATAAAGAAAATATTAATTATTTATTATAAAAAAATAATAAAAAAATCTAAGTTATTGAAAAATATAGTAATAATGCTAGATTTTGTCTCATTTGTAATTATGTATCTAAAATCATTCCAGCACTTCAATCAAGATGTACAAGATTTAAATTTAAGCATATTCCTATTGAAGATGCTTAGAAAAGAATAGAGGAAATATGCTTAATTGAAAAAATAAAATATGATTAATCTGGTTTAGAAGCAATATTTAAATTATGTGATGGGGATATGCGTAGAGTTGTTAATATGTTATAAGTAAAATAATTTTAATATATATATATTTATTATATTTTTTAATAGAGTTTGTAATTATAAAGTAATATTTTAAATTAAGTATTTGTTAATGAGGAGTTTGTTTATAAATTTACTGGAAACGCTACACCTTAAGATATGGAAGAAATATTAAATATTTTATTAACTGAAAACTTAATTAATGCTTATGAAACTATTAGAAAATATTAAGTATTGAAAGGAATTTCACTATAAGTAATTCTAAAAGAACTTAATATGAAATTAATGTATAGTAGATATCCAAGTATTGCACTTGAATTCTTAGTTAAAAGAATTGCTGAGTTAGAATATAGAATGTCTATTAGTTGTGAAGAAAAAGTATAATTATTATCATTAATTGGAGTCTTTATCGAAATAAGACATACAATTAATAAATGATTTTTTATAAAATAAATATAATTTATAGTTTTTTTTTAATTATATACATATATTTTTTTTATTTTTTTTGATATATATAATATTATCTAATTAAAATTAATTTTTAATATATAAAATTATTAATATAAGATACTTAGGAATTAAACAAAAAATATTATATAAGTAAAAAATGAAATTAATTTATATTATTTTTTATTAATTAGTTAAAAACGTGAAAAGTTTATTAATTTATTTAAAACAATTAAAAAAATGATTTTATTTTTATTTAAAATTAAGTCTAAAATAATATTGTTTAAGAAAATAAATTTAATAATATATTCAAGAAAAACAAGTAAATATTTAATATTTTATAAGTTGATTATATTTTTATTTTTTTCAATTTTTCTTTTTTTTACAATAAAAAAGCAGTATAAACTATTTCTCTTTAATTAAACTTTTCAATTAATTAACATTTACTAAAAATATTAAATTTTTTTAATAGAGGATTAAAAACTAAATAAATAAATATAATTTAAATATTATTATATAATGTACTTTTGAAGATAATTTTACAAGTTAAATTATAGCTTTTCTTTTCTTATAAAGTTAAACTATGTTTAACATTTATTGTTATATCTTCATAATTAATAAGCTCCTTTTTTAAAAAGTATTAAAATGATATTAATTATTATTTATAAACATACAAATGTTTTATGCTATTAGAAATATTATTTAAGTTATTCAGCTTCACATTTTTTTCTTAAATCGGCAAAACATAAATATCCTTCAGGTTTTAAAGCCTTAGAAATTTCATTTATAAATTATTCAAAGTTGTTAAATTATTTACTTCTCTATATAGAAATACATAAATCAAAATATTCTTATTATAAGTATTTTTCGAAATTATTTAAATTTTAAACCTTTAATATATTTTATTTTTAATAAAAAATATATATATAGTTTTAATTTAAATAACATAATTTTGTTTACATAATTAAAATCAATATTTTAATTTAATTTTTTGCATTATTATATTAAGCTTTTATTATTCTCATATCCAGCACACTATATTGGTCCCAAATAGTTATATACATAGTTTAATCCTATACCCTTTCCACAACCTATTTCCAAAACTTTCTATCCTTTTAAATTTTTCGCTTCATTGAATTCTTTTTTTATTTTTTTAAAAAAATAATTAACTTTATAATACAAGCATATAATGTAGAAAGTATATTTTATATTATTTTTATACTTACTAGTTATCAAATAATGGTATAATTATATTGAAAATCTATTTATTTCGTCTTCTTTTTTTATATTTTAGGTTAGTTTTCCTTATTATGATAATACAGCATAACCGTAATTACTTTCTAATGTTATTGCTTACAAATAAGTAATTAAAGCAAAAACCAAGTTTTGTAAATAATTTTTGCATTAAATATAATTATGGATTATAAATTTATTGGCAATTTGTTCTTTTATCTATTTATTATAGTATCAATATATATTTAAATATTAGTTTTTTTAAAAAATAAAAAAAAAAATAATTTTTTAAACTGTACATATTTTATTAAGATGAGTTGTAATAAAATAAATACTATTAGGAATATTAAGGGACTTGAAAACATAATCAAAGGAAACCATATAAATATTGTCATTATAAGTAATAGACCCAAAGGCATTGTATAAGAATATGTTGAGATTTTAGAAAGCATTTTTATTTGATTAAATTTAAACTATATATTTTTATTATTTATTATTTTTAATTTATGTTGAAAATAATAATTAAACAATTGTAATAATAAGGATAAAAAAAAAATTATGTGCTTTTATCAATATATAGAAAAAATAAATAATAAATAATAAATAATAAATAATAAATTATTTTGTATTTTTAAATTTTTTTTTTAATTTTTTTCTCACTTGTTTTTAAACAAAACAAAAGTTTGTATATATGTTTTTAAAAACTTAAATTATTAAAGACGGTCTACGACATATTAAATTGTGTAAATGAATATGATTATAAAATATTAATTTTCTATTTTATTTATTTATACATATTTAATAAAATTATTATTTTAATTAAATAACTAATATAATTTTCTTCATCTAATATTTTATAAACTACAAATGAAAATAATGCTTTTTAAATTTTATACTTAATGATTTTTTTTTATTTTTATCTAAGATTAATTTATGTATATGCGTTATAAAGGTAAAAAAAAAATTAATTTAGAAATTTAGAAAAATTAATTTTTTATTTATTTTTCAATAAAATCAATATTATTAGATTATAAACATACTTTTTACAATTAATATATATAGGCTTTTAATTAGTTATTATCTATAAAATTAATTTAAATATGTTTTTATTGATTATTTATAAAAAAAAAGCGCTAAACATTTATCAGAATATAGAAAAAAATTAAAATTAATAATTATTTTAATTATAACCTTTTAAAATGATTTTTTAATAATTTTTTATTATGAGCTTTTTATATATATTTATCAAAAAAAAATTAAATTTTATATTTATTGAGAACTAATTAATTTTTTTTTTATTTCATATATGACTGCATAAAACCATTAATATAAAATAATTAATTAGCAAATTTAAAAATAAATAATTAAATACTTATATTTTATTATTTTTACGTATTAAGTTATAGTTATTTAATTTAAGTTAATTTGCGCATATATTTAAAATTTTAAAAATTTTATGAAATTAATTACTATAATTACTTTAAATATATTTAAAAAAAATTTTTAAATTCATTAAGCAAATATCTATTTATAAAAAAAAAAATGACTTCTATAGAACATACTTATTAAAAAAAAACTTAACTTGAACATATACTTTTACGTCCAGATACCTATGTAGGTTCTGTCTAACAATAAACTTAATAATTGTGGGTGCTTTCTAAAGATGGTTAAAGTTTTGAAAATAGAAATATTACATACGTACCCGCTTTATATAAAATATTTGATGAAATATTAGTAAACGCTTCCGATAATTATTAAAGAGATAAAAGAATGAAAAAATTAGATGTGACCATAGATAATGAAAAAAATATAATTTCGATATATAATGATGGAGCAAGTATACCTGTGTAGATCCATAAATAATATAATGTTTATGTATCAGAAATGATTTTCGGACAATTACTTACATCTTCAAATTATAATGATCATGAAAAGAAAGTAACAGGAGGCAGAAATGGGTATGGTGCAAAATTAACTAATATATTTTCTAAGAAATTTAGTATAGAAACTGCTGATTCAAAAAATAAATTGTAATAAAAAAGAAAAATTTTGTTTATTTTTTTTTTTTGTTAATAAAAGAAAACTTACAATGACATGGTCAAAAAATATGTAAGAAAGAGAAGAACCTAAAATAACGAAATATACAGAAGCTGATTATACACGTATTAGTTTTGAACCTGATTTAAAAAGGTTCCATATGCAAAAACTAGATGATGATATTTTAGATTTAATGAAAAAAAGAGTTTATGATATGGCAGGTATAATTGGAGGTTCTGTTCGTGTATTTTTAAATGGAAAAAAAATAGAAATTAATAATTTTTCAGAGTATTGTGATTTCTATTTAAAAAATTCAGATTATAATGAAAGTAGGGAAATTATTAAGGTATTTAAATATTAAAAAAAAAATGTTTTTTAATTTTTATTAAAAATAAGGTTGCTGATAATAAAAATACAAATAATGAAAGATGGGAAATAATAGCAAGTGTATCTGAAGGTTAATTTTAACAAGTTTCTTTTGTAAATTCTATATGTACAACTAAAGGAGGTACCCATGTTAATTATATTACTGATTAGTTATGTGAAAGGCTTTTAGAAAAACTTAAAAGCAAACAAAAAGGTTCATCCAATATAAAACAATTTTAGATAAAAAATCATATATGGATATTTATAAACGCATTAATTGAAAATCCTTCTTTTGATTCATAAACTAAAGAAACATTAACTTTAAAGTAATAAGATTTTGGTTCATAATGCATTGTATCAGAAAAGTTTTTAAAAGATTATTTAAAAACAGGAATTTTGGAAAATATTTTAGTATAAATAAAAGCCAAAGAACAAGCAAAAATGAAAAAAGCGCTTTCGTCAAACAAACAAAGCAGACTTTTAGGAATTCCAAAGCTTGAAGATGCAAATGATGCAGGAACAAGACTTGGAGATTAATGTACTTTATTTGTTACAGAAGGAGACTCAGCAAAAGCACTTGCGATGAGTGGAATTGAAGTCGTTGGAAGAGATAAATTTGGTGTTTTCCCTTTGAAAGGAAAGATGCTTAATGTGAGGGAAGCTTCAGTTAAATAAATAACTGAAAATTAAGAAATTCAGAATATAATTAAAATTATGGGACTTAAGCTTGGAGCTAAATATGAGAACACAAAATCTCTTAGATATGGGTCTATTGCTATTATGGCAGATTAGGATCATGATGGGTCACATATAAAGGGTTTATTTATTAATTTTATATAGAATTTTTGGCCTAGTTTATTTGAAATGAAAGGGTTTTTGAAGGAATTTGTGACTCCTATTGTAAAAGTAAGGAAAGGGGAATAAAGTTTGTCTTTTTTTAGCTTACATGACTTCAAGAAATGGAAAAACTCATTAGGAGATAATAGTAATTAATGGAAGACTAAATACTATAAAGGGTTAGGTACATCAACAGATATGGAAGCTAGGGAATATTTTTAGAATGTGGAAAAACATATGATAAGCTTTACATATTTAAATGATGAAGATGAAGAAAGTATCGATTTGGCATTTAATAAAAAAAAAGCTGATGCAAGAAAAGAATGGCTAAATGCTTTTAATGAAGATGATAATGTAGATCATACTTAGAAGAATTTAAGATATAAAGATTTTGTACATAAGGAGTTAATTAATTTCTCTATTTCAGATAATGCAAGATCTATTCCTAATATATGTGATGGATTGAAAACTGGGTAAAGAAAAATTCTGTTTGCTTGCTTTAAAAGAAATCTTAAATAAGAAATTAAAGTTGCTTAACTTTCGGGATATGTGGCAGAACACTCAGCTTATCATCACGGAGAATAGTCTCTGGCTTAAACTATTACGGGAATGGCATAGAATTTCGTAGGGTCGAATAATATTAATCTTCTTATGCCTATAGGTTAGTTTGGTTCTAGAAATATGGGGGGTAAAGAAGCTGCTTCAGCAAGATACATACATACTAATTTAAATAAAATTACTAGAGTCATTTTTCCTTAAAATGATGATTATATTCTTTAGTATTTAGAAGATGATGGATATTTGGTTGAACCGAAGTATTATTTGCCTATTATTCCAATGGTACTTGTTAATGGAGCGGAAGGAATAGGAACTGGATGGTCTACAAGTATTCCTTAATATAATCCGAGGGAAATCGTTTAGTCGATTTAAAAAAGAATGGAAGGAGAAAATTGGGAATAATTAATTCCTTGGTACAAGGTATTTTTTTTTATTTTTTTTTATTTATTTTTTTATTTAAAAAAAGGGTTATTAAGGTGAAATCGAAAATAATGATAAAGGTTAATATAATGTAAAAGGTAGAGCAAGTATTATTGGGGAAAATTTAGTTGAAATTACTGAGTTACCTATTAAGAAATGGACAAGAGATTTCAAGAACTTTTTGGAAGAAAAAATGGAAAGTTCTAAAGATAAAGAATAGGAAATTGAAGACATTAAAGAATATCACACAGGAAATAATGTTAGGTTTGAAGTAAAAATGGTAAATGGAATGTTAGATAAAATTTTAAAAGAAGGAGGACTTGATAAATATTTTAAATTAGTTAGCTCTATATCTACTAGTAATATGGTTTTATTTAATCATGAAGGGAAAATTGTTAAATATAATAACATATAGGAAATAATGGAGGATTTTTATAAATTAAGACTAGATTTATATAAGTAAAGAAAAGAATTTCTTGCATCAAAAATTTTGAGGGATTTGGAAATTCTTAATAATAAAAAAAGGTTTATTTTGTCGGTTATTGAGGAGAAATTGGATATTAAAAATACAAAAAAAAAAGAAATTTTAAAATAATTAGTTGCTTTGAGATTTGTGGAAATGAGAAATATGCCAAAAATTAAATAAAGTAATAAGTTTTTAAACGAAAAGTTAAACCAAGATGAGGAAAATTCTGAATTTTAAGAAGAAGAAACTACTTTCAAAGAATTTAATTATTTATTATAAATGCCTATTTGGAATTTAAGTTATGAGAAAATAGAAGAAATTAAAAATTAATGTGAATAAAAGGAAAAGGAATTAGCAGAAATATTAAAAAAAGATGTTAAGGATATATGGAAAGATGATTTAAATGAGTTTGTTAATGTTTTAAATGAAATTGAAGAAAACGAAGATATTGAGAAATAGGAAAGATTTAAAAAAATAACAAGTAAAAATGGAAAAAAGAAAAATAAAAAAGATGGTGATGATTTGGATTTTGAATTTAAAAATAAATAAAAATAGAATTAATAAAAATAATAATAAACTTAAAGAAAAAATATTAAAAAAAATTATAATGAGGATGAAATGGAAGAAGAAGACGAAGATGAATTTGTTATTTAAAAATAAGAAAAATAAAAACCGAAAGAAATAAAAACCAAACAAAATAATTAATAAGAATAAGAATAAAAATTAGAATTATAGAAATAATAATAAGAATAAAAATCATAATAGTAGGAAATTTTAAAAAAATAAGATAACTTATAAAGTACTTTAGATAAATATTTGGTAAACTTTAATAGTACTAAAACTCCTGAAAATTAAGTTTTTGATTTAAAAAGTATTAATCTTAAGGAAAATTACGAATTACCATTAGAAGAAAGAATAAAAATTAGATAATTTTAATAAAAATTGGAAAGTTCAAAAAAAGAAAATATGAATTAAGATGAAGATAAATAAGAAGTTAAATCAGTAAAAAAAAAAACAACAAAAGTTATAGAAAGTGATAAAAAGAAGGAAATTAAAAATAATAAAATGTTTAATTGTAAAAGAAAAATCATTTCTGATAGTGATGATTTATTTGATGAAGTTAAAAATTTATTAAAAGATGAGATATTTGAAACAAAACAAAAAACGGTAAAGAAAGATTAAATAGAAAAAAATGATATTAAAGATAAAACAATAAAGAAAATAAAAATTAATAATGAAAATGATAATGGAGATAAATTAAATATTATTAAAAATAATAAAAAAAGAGGATAAAATAAAGATAAATAAATAATTGAGACACCTATAAAGGATGAAGATAATAAAAAAGAAAAACTAAAAAATTAATAAACAACAAGAACTTAAAGAAACAGAAAAAAAATTGTATATTAAGAAGATGATGAAGATGATGATGATGAAGAATTTTATTGAAATAATATTTTTATATTATAATATATATATTATTTTTAATTAAATATGATTATAAAAAATAAAAATAAATGAATTATAAAAAAAAAAAATTATTAATTTTATTTAATTATAAAAAAAATAATAATTATTTATTGTATTTCAACTTTTTCCAGTAAAGTTTTTTAATAAACCACCAGTAATTCCTCTTAATCCTTATATTTTATAAGATACCTTATTAAAAAAAATATAAAAAATATTTATATGTATAAATATAAAAATATTATATTATTATATTATATTTATATATATATATATATTTATTTATAAATATTTATATGTATATTTTTTTTTTTTATTTAAATAATTAATTTTTAATATATTAGTTGTTTATTTTAAAAAATATTTTTATTGTTTACATTTCCAACAATTTTATTTGTTAAATTAGATTAGTTAACTTATTGTACAATTGTTGTTTTTTAACTTTCATTTATGTTTATGTTTATATTTTGTTTCTTTACATTATCTTAAACAAATTAAAAATATTCCTATAAAACAATAAAATTAGCATATTTTTAAGAAATCATTTCACTTTATTAAGTTTATTTTTCTTTAAATTCTTTTTTTAAATTATTATTTATTTTAATTCTGTCTTTTATTTATTATTTTTCTAAAAACTCTCTTTTTTCTAAATAAAATTAATTATTCAAAATATAACAAATATTAATTAATCCCATATCTTGTGTGTCTATTTTAATTTTTTTAATAATTTTTTCATTTTTTTAATTTTATAATGCTTCGAAAATTGACAATATCATATTTTTGCAAATTTAAATTTATTTTTTGTCTTAATTTTCAATAAAATTATGTAAGAAATCATCCAATTCATATAAATAAATAGAGAAAAATTCTTCATAAGATAATAAATTATGTTTTTTTCTAATTAACTTAACAACTCGTCTGAAATTAATTAAATTCTATCCTAAATATATAGTTAAATTTCAAAAAAGTTTTCTTTATCCCATTCTATATATGCATTTTCTCTTATTCTTTTTTTAAAATATTATAATATATATTTATTTTATATATTTTACTTTGATTTTTCCAATTATTCAATTAAATAATTATGTAAAAATAAAAATATAATAAATGTTTTTAATAAATCAAAAGAAGCATTGTTTTCATATTATTCCCACATTTAAAATAAAGACTATTCGTAATTTTTTATTAAAATAGTTATATTTTCATATAAACAAATTAACATAGACTACAAATTATAAGCTATGTCTAATTTTTCATCAAATCCGAAAATAAGTTACATTTTAGAGCTGAAAATACTAACTTTTTAAGATATAATATCATATTCTCTTTACAAGTTTTCTTAATATTTAATTATATTGTATTTTTAAAATTCTAGGTTTAAACTTTCGCTTTTAAAAATAATTTAATTTTATAAATTTTAGATCATTTCATGTATTTTTATTCCCAAAATACACTTTTTAATTTCATCTTGATAAAATTCTTCCCAAATTTCAATAATAGTTTGTTTTAAATCTTTTCGTTAATATTAATGATTTTAATCGTATATTTAATCAAGAACATTTTTTATTTCTTCAATCATATTAATATTTTTTTCTTCAAAAATCATTTTTTAAAAAAAAGAACTTTTAATTAATAAAACATATATAAATAAAAATAAAAAAAAAAAATATATATATATATATATATATATATATATATATATATATTAATTTACTGATTAAAATAACGATTTTATTCTTCATCTTAATGAATTAGCATTGTTTTTACAATAACACTTATTTATGCAAACTAATTTATATATAAATTTTATATTAATTTTAGTAAATTTTATTAATATTTTAAATTTATTTCTTATTGTTTTTCACATTATTCTTCATATAATTGTTTAATATTGTTTATTTCAAAGAAAGAAAGAAAATTTGATTAGTCATTAATTGAAATTAACAGTTTTTCTAAAATAGAAATAAATTTATCATATTAAATGTCTTCTTTCATAAATTTTACTAATAAATAAAAATCTTTAAAATAATTCATGAATATACATATATTTGAATTTTTTTCTAAGTTTTTTAATTTTATTTCTTAAATAATATTTAAACTTTCCATTAAAATTTCTTATATTTCTTAATTTTCTCCTTTTAAATATTAAAATTATATATTAAATTTTTCGAAATAATGTATTTCTTTTAAATTTTCGAAGTCTTCTTGAGAATTGAATTCATTTAAATATAAAAAAATAGAACATATGGCATCTAAAAGTCCCCAAATCTTTTCTTAATCATTTTTTTCAGTATATATTTCTAAGTTTTATTATATTATATGATTATTTAGAGTTTATTCGAAAATTTCTAAACACAATTCATCAATAAAAAGTTCATTTTATTAAAAATATTCTATTATAAAATTAATTTATTTAATAATTAAAATATTTACTTAAATACTATTATTATGAAAGGCTTTATTTAGTATTATTTAAAATTTTTTTTAGTTAAATTGCTTATTTCATACCAATTGAAAATATTTGGCATTTAAAAATTTATTTATTGATTTTCTTTAACGCTTTATCGATAAATAATTGAATGTTTTTTAATGTATTTTCTATCGGCTTTATTTAAGATGATGAAATCCTTCTCATACTATCCTATTAGTGTAATAATTCTGAGTTCTTATTTTCTTTTAAATCGAAAATTTATTGTAAAAAATGGGCTGGTTTAGCTGATAAATCTGATATATTTTTTGAATATTCGTTTATACTTAATAATAAATCACTACAATTTAACAATTCTAAATAATTTCCACTAAATATATTTTTTAGTTATAGATTTTTTTTCTTTGTTAATTGTTATATTTCTTCTAATGTTTATTATATTTGTTAATAGTTCATGTTTTCGAAAAATTATTGAGATAATAAAAGAGGATCTTATGTTAATAAATCCTCATTTATTAATTCTATTTTACTATTACTCATTTATATATTATTTCTTTATTTTTATTTTTATTATTAATATGTAAAAAATATATCCTAAAAAAAAAAAAAATTATTAAATAAAAGTATTTATTTATTAAAAATTTATATTTCTTATTAATTTTTTTTTTATATATATATTTATTTATATAACAAAATAATTTTTATATTATTATCATTTTTTTTATTAAAAAAAAGGATATCATCATTAAAATATTAATATGGAGTTAATATTAAAAAAAAAAAATTATTTTATTTTTTAAAGCTTATACAAGTTAATAATTTTTTTGAAAATACATCATATTATTTAATTTTTATTAATTATTTGTTATTAATATTTACATAATTTTTGTTAAGATTACTCAAAATAAAAAATAAATATTTTATTTTGATAATTTTTAATAATAAAAATTAAATATTTTGTTTATTTTAAAATCTTATATTTTAGTTAAGAAAAAAATATTGTTTGCTTTGAAAAAAATCTATAAATATTTTTTTAGAATTAAAAAATTACAAAAATTAAAATACTGTGAATTTTTTTTTTTATTAAATGAAGTAATTTTATTAAATTTAATCTTAAAATTATAAAAAATAATTAATTTATATAATATTTAATTCATTTACATAAATAAAAAATAAAAAATATCTTTTATAATAAAATTAATAATTCATACAAATAAAAAATGAATACATAATTATTATAAGAATTCTAACAAACCTAAGGAAAAGTAATAACCTGTAAAGCTGCTGTAGCCTGGGAAGCTAAAAAGCCTTTAGACTACACCGATGTATAAGTAGAAGCTCCAAAAAAAGGAGAAGTCCGTTTAAAGTACTAGCTAATGCTTTATGTCATACTGATATTTATACCTTAGAAGGTCATGATCCTGAAGGACTTGTCCCAAGTATATTAGGTCATGAAGCCGCGGGAATAGTAGAAAGTGTAGGTGAAGATGTAACTTCTGTAAAACAAGGAGATTTAGTAATTCCTTGCTATACTCCTGAATGTAGAGAATTTTCTTGTATCTATTGTTGTAGTGAAACTACTAATTTATGTCCAAAAATAAGATCATTCTAAGGTTTTTTTTTGTTTTATTCCTAAAAAAATGCATTAATATAAATAAAAAGGTAAAGGATTAATGCCTGATGGAACAAGTAGATTTTCAAAAGAGGGAAAACAAATATTTCATTTCATGGGTTGTTCTACTTTTTCTGAATATACAGTTGTCGCTGAAATTTCATGTGCTAAAATAAACTCATAAGCAGATGCAAATTAAATATGTTTATTAGGATGTGGAATATCTACAGGATGGGGAGCCGCAATGAACACTTGTAAAGTTAGAAACGGATCCTCTGTTGTAGTTTTTGGATTAGGAGCTGTTGGTTTATCGGTTGTATAGGCTTGTAAAATGAGGGGGGCTAAAAAGATAGTTGGAATAGATTTAAATAGTTTGAAATTCGATGTAGCTAAGTAGTTTGGATGCACAGAATGTTGGAATCCAACTGAAGTTTAAAAAAATTATGGAAAAAGCATTAAAGAGCATTTACTTTAATTAGAAACGTGGGGATATGATTATACTTTCGATTGTACTGGAGTCACTTCAGTTATGCGTGACGCATTAGAAATTTCACATAGAGGGTAAAATATTTTGTATACACATATCTTTAATATTATATTTTAGATTTGGTGAAAGTTGTGTTATTGGCGTTGCAGCTTCGGGACATGAAATATAAACAAGACCCTTCTAATTAATTACTGGTAGATAATGGAAAGGAACAGCTTTTGGAGGCTGGAAGAGTAGAACAGAAGTTCCTTAGTTAGTTTAATAAGTACAAAGAGGTGAATTATAAATTGAATAATTCATAACTCATAAAATCGAAGGACTTTAAAACGTTAATTAAGCTATAGATGCATTACATTCAGGAAATTGCTTAAGAGCTGTTGTTTAGATTAATAATAGGCCAGGCTATGTGAAAGAGGAGGCTTATAAATATGTCCCTAGTGTATATGCTAGTCATAGAACATTCAATGGATATGTGAAAAGAGTTAGACATTTTTCAAAAGTAAATGATTGTGTAATGTCTTTTTCGATTTTCATACCTGATTTCAAAAAAAGAATTGATTAATACCCTCCTGTTCTTTATTATTTATCCGGTTTGACATGCTCAGATGAAAATGCGTTGGTTAAAAGTGGGTTCGCAAGCTTTGCTAGTAAATATTAAATTGCTGTTGTTTTCCCAGATACTAGTCCTAGAGGAGTTAAAATCGAAGGAGATAATGATAATTGGGATTTCGGAGTTGGTGCAGGATTTTATTTAGATGCTACTGTTGATAAATGGGCGAAAAATTATAACATGTATAGTTATATTTGTTAGGAATTGCCTAAGGTTGTTGGAGATTATTTCCCTGTGGATATTTCAAAGGCTGGTATTACAGGCCATTCTATGGGAGGTTTAGGTGCTTTGAGCTTGTTTTTGAAAAACCCACATAAGTATTTAAGTGTATCAGCTTTCGCACCTATTTGTAATCCTACTTAATGCGATTTTGGGAAAAAAGCTTATTAAGGATATTTAGGAAGCGTTGATAATGGAAAATAATATGACCCAACTGAATTATTAAAGAATTTAAATGATTTGGGTGATAAAAAGAAAATTCTTATTGATTATGGTGATTAGGATGAATTTAATCATTAGCTTCTTATAAGTAATTTTGAAAAAGTTGCTCATGAGAAAAAATATCCGGTTGAAATTAGAGTCTAAGCTAATCATGGACACTAATATTATTTTGTTTAAAGTTTTATTGAAGATCATTTCTTACATCATGCTAAATATTTAAAATAATTGTGATTTATTTATTATTTTTTTTGTATTTTAATATTAGATTTTATTTTATTTTTTTAAAAAAAAAATTAATAAAAATTAAATTTAAGAAAAAAAAAAAAAAAAAAAAAAAAATTATAATAGAAAAAAAAAAAAAAACATATATGCAAAATATATTTATTTCATTATTTTCAATTTTAATTATTAGAATTGACTTGATGATCAAAATAACTTACAGTTTTTTTACATACAATATCCATATTTAAATTATCATCAATTTATTGTTATTCCTTATTATAATCTTTACTTTGTAAATTTAATTAAAAATAACTTTTTATTAAATCTTTTTATGCAATAAATTAAGGATTGATTATTTAAACTTTTTAAACTAAAGTATCGAAATTAGAAAGATTAGGAAAGATTTTAATTTCGCAAATTTCATCAGCAATATATAATACTTCTTCAGAAACTCTTTTAGAAACAATATATATATCTTTGTATTCTTCATACATTTTTATAAAAGGTTCAAGCATATAATAATTAATACTTTAAATAATATTTTCAAATAATTTATTTATTTCATTTTAATTTAATAAATCTTCAATTACATTATACATATTTCTTATATTATCAATAGCAATAATAGTTTATTTTAATGGAACATTAAGTTAGGCAGATTTTTCTTTCCATTGAATATTTTAAACTGCTTATTAATATTTATTAAGTATATCTTTGACAATATTAACTATAATTTTAAAAATTTAATCAATATGACCTTATATTTAATTTATCAATTCATTAGATTAATTAGTTATATAGAAATCGTCTTAAAGTTCAACTTCTTATAATAATTTAGTGGAAATATTTCGAATTATTTTTTTTAAAAATTAAAGGTTTAATGAGGATATACTTAAGTTTTTTACTGTAATTTTATTGTTCATTTATTCTTTTTTAAGTCCTTTTGCTTATACAATAAATTCTTTAGAAAAATTATTAAAAAAAGTAATAATTTTAAATAATAAATCAACTGAATATTACTTAAGTGTATTTTCATATAGATTAATAATAATATTTCTAAATTGTAATATTTGTTTCAAAAATTAAATAAATCCTTTAGTAAAAACATACTTTTATTAATCTTCTTAATATAATACATTTCCTATTATTTTATAATTTCTTTGTATCCTTTTATTCATTTTTAAAGATTTTTATGATTAATTATTTGTAAGTATACTACTTGTAGTTAATTCTCCTTCATTTTCATCACTACTTTAATTATAAATTTCGATTTCTTACTTTTTTTTATATTAAAATTGAATTAAACATATTTTTTTAAAAAATAATAAAGGCTTTACCTTAGTTAAAAAAAAATAGTCAATAATAGAATAATTTTTATATGAAATATTATAAACAAGCCAATTATCATTATCTAAAGTAGCTTCAAGTATCGATAGCTATTTTTTATGAAAATCGTCAACCAATTATTTCTAGAATTTTATTTTTTCGATTTCAAATAACTGGCAATTAAAGCCTTTTTATATTTCTATAACTTCATTTAAATTAGGATTTTCGGGAATTAAAACATATTTATTAAATTAATCTTTCTCAAACTAATTTATCCAATAATCAAAAATATTATTCGAAAGTACGATTATACTTATTATGTATTAGTCTTAAGGATTTAAGATATATTGAAATAACTAAAAAATTTTATTTGAACAAAACTTAATAAGTTCAATTTATAAATGGGTTAATTTACATAATATAGGGATTATTGAATCAAAATCATTATTTTATTCTTAAAGGATCTAATTTTTAAGCGTAGATATTAAAGTAAGTGCTTTAATTAAATATAATTTGAAGATATTTTAGAATAAATTTATAAACTAAAGTAAAAGTATAAAATTAATTTATTTTAAAAAATCTTCTTCTTTTAGAATAGTTTAATTATTTTTTTTATACAATTCAATACAGTAAGCTTTAAATTCGGAAACAATTTTATCCCAGAATTTTTACAAATCATTGATAATATTAATTTTAAAAACTTCTAATTTCATAGGCTCGTAATTTTTTCCAAGTTAGTTTTTCATAAATAAAGAAGAAATATTTATTTCAATACTTTTATTTATATGTATTTCTTTAAAAGTCCATGGAAATTCCATTAAAGATTCGTCAATAGTTTCCTCTTCATAAGCAAAATCTTGGCTATAGTTTGCTATACTATTTGATAATTCTAAGCTTTATTGTTCTATTATTATCGTTTTTTTTTTAATTATTTAAAAATTCAAATTCTCTTGTAAATAAGCTTTCGATTTATCAATAAATTCGGAGTAAAATTCTTAGATTTATTTCTTATGCTGAATTTCGACTTTATCTTGTACTATTTTGTATATTTTTAATTTATTTAATATAGGTAGTATTTATCCGTTATTTTTTTATTTTAATATTGTTAATTTATCTTAAATTTCTTATTATTAATTATTATTATTTAATTGTTTCAAATAATATAGGATTTCGTATGTTTTTTACATATTAATAATCATTTTCTTTTATTTTATTATTTCACGAGCTCTAGTTAATTAAAATTATTTTATTCTGCTTATATCAAGTCTTAAAGTTTATACTTTAACTAAATTATTTTCACATAGTTCGCCCATTGTATGAAAATCAATAACTATTTATAAGATCTAATTAAACCTATAAATTTTTAAATAAAAAGTTAAATAAAACAATTTAATAATTTATTTAAAAAATACAAATTAGTTAAAATATATATATATATATATATATATATATATATATATAATTTATTTATTAATTTATAAATAACATTTTAAAAATATATTTTAAAAAACTTTAAACCTAAAGTACACTTAATGAAATAAGTTTAACTCAACACTATCTAAATATTCATTTAATTTATTTTAAAATTATTTAATTTTTTCTATTTTAAAATCATTCAATTTTTAAAAAAAATCGCATTTAAAATCATCTTCATTAAAGAAATAAATTGGAACATTTCTATAACAATTTTCTAAATTTTTTTTTAAATGCATATCTGCTAATGTATCTTCGAAAGTTTTATTATTTATTTTATTTTATTAATATTCCTTATATCCTAATTGAATATTTTTTTTATAATCGTCGAAATCACTTAAATATATTGTTAATTTTTATATTTCTTATTCACTTAAATTACAATATGGTTATTTTTTTATATTATTTTCAATCATGTCTTTATAATATTCTACTTTTTCTGTAAAATTATCAAATACTTTTAATGCATTTTAAGGTATATTAGAAATTATGTCATTTATTTTTTTTGTAAAATTTGGTGTATCTTATTATGTATGGCATTCAATTTCTTCTTTAAATTATTAAACTGTTTAAGAAGGTTTCCTTGGGAATAACCCTGGAATATCATTTATATCTAAATAATTATTTGTTTTCTATTATTGAACACTTCTGTTTAATTTTATATTATTATTTTATTATTAATCCATTATTGTTATTTTTTATTTTATTTTAAATAATAGAATTTATTTTTTTAATTTGAACAAAATTTTTTTATATATAACTATATTAAATCTTTGTAAATAAAAAAAAAATATTATTTTAATAAATAATATAAACAAAAAAAATAATTATTTGTAAATAAAAAATTAATATATGTTATATATATTATTTTATACACATAATATAGAAATTATTTTTAAATATTTAGTAGTTTATAGACTCTCATATGAACTAATCAATAACTTGTTTTGTTATTTCATTATTATTTTAAGTCTTTTTTTATATCCATTTTATTAGTTATCCATTTTTCCATAATCCAATTTAAGCTTTACCTTTTACATTTGTATATTCTCCTTCTCCATCCTATAATATATATAATAGAAATTAATAAAAAAACATATAAATGAAAAGGAACCTATTTTCCATTTAAAAACTATCCTGTACAAAATGATCTATCTGGCCAATGAATTTCTCCTTTCCCTTGTTTTTTATTTTTCTAAAATTGTCCCATATATTTTTTTCCATCTAAATAAATTAATAAATAATAATATATTTATATATAGAAAAAAAAATACCAGGCCAAATAAATGTCCCAAAACCTTACATTTAATCGTTTTTCCACATTCCATCATAAGTAGAACCATCAGCCCATTTATAAATGCCTTTACCATGAAATTCAAATTAATCGGACGATTCATTTTATAAATTAATTTCTTGTTATTCGCTATTTACACTATTTAAAATGCTTACACTAGCTAATGAATTACTTTAATATTAACTTAAAACACCAAAAGAGAAAGCTTATGTAGTATCTTAATCTAAAAATTATCCTTCATAAACTATTTTAATTTATTATATTTATTTTATTAATAAATATACCATCTCCTTTAAAATTAATAAATCTTCCATAACCCGCTATTTTATTATTTTTCCAATATCCTTCATATAAAGATCCTTCTTTCCATATAATTATACCTCGTCCATTCTTCATTCCGTTTTTCCATTGTCCTTTGTAAAAGGTATTATTTTTAAGTTTATGCCAATCGTAATAATTAGCAAAAGAGTTTTCGTATTATTTATGTTTGTAATTAAGCTCACATATTGTAGATAATAATTGTTTTACTTTTGGATTTAAAATATCTAAGGGAGGTTATTTTATTGGAAAACCGATATAAGATTTAAGAATAGGTAAATTATCTTATGATACTTTTTTTAAATTAATCATTAAAGAATCTTCATTAAACTTTAAGGATTCTTTGAAAAAATTAAAAGATTGATTTTTTTGTATTTAGGATATATTTATATTTTAAAAAAAAATTAATTGTTAATTTTTATCAGATTCCTAATTTTTTTGATTAGAAATTTAAATAGAATTCGTATTAATTATTTCGTTTATGGGAATTTACTTATTTTCACAACAACCCATCTAAGTGCAATTTTTTATATTTTAGCTTTGTATTAGAAACATTTGTTTTATTTTAAAAAAATTGAAATAAAAAATGTGGTATACATTGCGTAAACCATAAAATAAGATACAGTAAGGTATTTATTATAATTAACTTTTAAATAAAACTATTTTGATTTAAAAAATAATGAATATGTAAAAAGATAGTAATTTATATCAATTATCAATAAAATATAGGAATAAAAATTATTTCAAATTATATTTTTTTAAAAAAATATTGACTTCTGATTAGAGTTGAAGATATAATTTAATCATACATATATAAAAAACAAAAATTATTTTTCATAAAACTTCATAATTTTTTGGAAACAAAAAAATTTGTTTTTTTTTTTTTATAAAATACCCAAAAATAAAATAAATAAATAGTATTAAAAAGGAGAAATAAAATAAATAATTAACAAACAATAATAAACAAAAAAATATGAGAAAAAATCTACTTAAATATTTTGGACTTTCCTTTAGTATAGCAAGTGGATATTTAGCTTACGATTATAATACAGAAGAAAAAATAATATTTAGGAATTTAAAAACAATAAAAACAGGCTTATAAATAATATACAATTACAAATTCAAGTTTAATGATTAAAATTTTAATGAAATCCATGAAGAAACCGCAGAGTCATTATATAATTTATGTGTATAAAATGATGGGCTTTATGTTAAATTTGGATAAGGAGTTGCTGCTTCAGAACACATATTACCTCCTGCATATTCAAAATGGTTTTGTAAATTATAAGATAGGGCAAAATCAGTAGAATATGATAAGGTAGAATAAATTATATTATAGGATTTGGGAAAAAAGCCAAACGAGATTTTTAAATATTTCGAAATAGAACCAATTGCAAGCGCAAGCATAGCTTAAGTGCATAAAGGAATATTAAAAAACGGGGAAGAAGTGGCAATAAAAATATAAAAGCCTCATATAGAAAAATAATTTAAAAATGATATGAATATGCATTATTTGTTTTTACTTATGATGGAAAAAGTCTTTGATTTACCTTTAGTCTGCTTTCATGATAATATAGAGTTAAATTTAAAAAAAGAAGTGGATTTTAGGATTGAATAATAAAACTCTTAAAAATGTTATTTAAATTTTTAAAAATTAGGGAAAACAGATGTCTATGTGCCTAAATTTTACTAAGAATTTACCACTAAAAGAATTCTAGTAATGGAATGGATTGATGGAGTTAAAATTACTAACGAATAGGAACTAATTAATAATGGTTTAGATATCAAAAAAGCTATAAATACAACTGTTTAGGCTTTTGCAGAATAAATTTTTATTTCTGGTTTTTTATTTAATTTTTGTTTAAAAAAAATGTTAACTATTAAAATAAAAAAAGGTTTTGCTCATGCTGATCCCCATCCAGGAAATTTACTTGTAAGAAGAAATCCTAATAAAACTAGTGAATAGTAAGTTGTCTTATTAGATTATGGGTTGTGTTATTAAATATAAGATAAAATAAGGTATCAATATTGTTTATTATGGAAAAGTTTATTTTTATAAGATTTTGATAATTTAAAAAATATTGTTTAATAATGGGGAGTTTAAGATGATGAAGCTTTCGCAAGTTTGTAGCTTTTTAGGCCTTATTAAAAAAATAAACCGATAAATGTAGGTATTAATAAAAAAGATGTTTATAATCTATAATTAAAGTTCAAAACTGATTTTAGATAAATGCTTGGCGATACAAATAAATTACCTAAGGATTTATTATATATTAATAGGAATATGAATTTAGTTAGAAGTATTAATAAAAAAATGGGGTCAAAGGTTAATAGGATAAACGTTATGGCGAAATGTGCAGTTAAAGGAATAAATATTTAATAATATGGAATAACTTCATTTTTTAAAATTCTATGGTTTGAAATTAACTTGATATTCTCTTCTATTTTATATAATTTAAATCAATATTACCTAAATTTTACTTAAAATAAAGGATTTGAAGATGTTTTGGATGATAATATAAATTAGGCAGTTGCTGAAAAATATAGATAATATGGAATGATTATTGATTAAAATACATTTAATGCATGAATAATATTTTTTATATTTATAAATTATATTAATATATTTTTTATTATATTTTTATATAAATTCTTGATCTAATCAAATTAAATAATTCCAGTTAAATGAAACTATTATTATGTAGAAATTTGCTTTAATATTTTTAAAATATTAAAAAAAAATTAATTTCTAAAATAACAAGTTATATTAAGACAATATGTTTTATATTTTAAATATTATTTATTACGTATAAAATTTCAAGTTATTTCATATTTAAGTAATATTATACATATAAAAACATAATAAAAATTCTCTATAATTTTTATAATATAAATATTTATTAGAATATAAAATATATAAATATAAAAAAACATAATAATATAAAAAAATATTTTTTTTAAAAATATAAATATATATATATATATATATATATATATATATATATATATATATTTTGTCAAAAAACATAAAAGCATAAACATTTCTTAAATAAAATTATATAAATTACTTAAAAAATTAAAATTAATATTTCTATATAGAAAAATAAATGGAATAAGAATAAGTCCAATAATAATAGGAAAACAATTAAGATTTTTTAATTAATTTAACATAATTAGAAAGTATACCAACATTACAAACAATATGCATAATGAATGAATATATATTAAATACTGCAAATTTTATAAATAGGTAAAACAAAAAACTAAAAAAAAATAATAAAATAGAAAATATATTAAAGAATAACATATTAATCAGAATTAGATTTACTTTAAATAGAAAATTTACTTGATGGAATTGATACAAAACTACTTCTTCTAGAAAAAAAATTAGATTCCGTAAATCCTTTATATTATTAAAATCTTCCATAAATAAAAAAAGTAGAATGTAAGGAATATATTCCTTTGTTTTAGGATAATTTTTATTAAGAATAAAATTAATAAATCTCTACTTAATAATAAAATTAATAGTCTCTTTAATAAACTGATCTAAACTAAAATTCTTAATAAAAAATGAATGAAAATCAAAGTATTCTGCCACCTCCTAATTCTAATGCCCTTCCGGAAATATCTATAACTCCATTTCAACCACCATCTGGTGATAAAAAACAGCCGCTATTAAACGGAACGCCTACACATACTTCTATAGGAATACCTCCACCACCTTCTATTAGTTTACCTCCAATATTTGTTAATAGTATGGCGCCTCCTCCACCTCCTGGTGGACTACTTCCTCCTCCACCTCCTGGCGGATTACAACCGCCTCAAAAATCTGTTGGCTTACCAAAAGATACTGCTATTCTTGCTCCTCAATCTAACTTACTTATAAACACACCAGAAATAATACAGTCTGAAATAAAACCTCAGGAAACTATTGAAAGTACTAAAAAACAATCTAAGGCACCTGTCTTACCTCAAACTTAATCATAAGAATAGAATACAGTTGAAAATAATTAAAAATCATAAGAAAATAATTTAGAGGAAAATAACTAAACAGCAATCGAAAATAATAATGAACCGCCAGGTAAAAAAGAAATATAAAAAAATAAAATAAATATAGAAATATTATATTAAAATTTAAAAATAAGAACATTTAAAAATATATATGAATATGATTAAATATAAGATTCCTAAAATAGCAGTAAAATAAAAAATGGTTGCAGAAGGTTATGATCCAGATGAAATTGATGTAAATATAAATATATATATATATATATATATATATATATATATATATATTTAAATATATATATCTATTATTTTTATAATATATAAAAGTAATACATACAGAAGAAAATATGATAAATTAATATAATTATTAGACATTTTTTATTATCTTTTTTAATATTGTTCTTATTTATTATTATTATTATTATTATTATTATTATTATTATTATTATTATTATTATTATTATTATTATATATTTTTTTTTATTATATATATCAATATATTTATTTATATATATATATATGTTTTGTCTCAAAATCCCAATTTTCTTATAATTTTTCAATCAACATTACTTCCTACAGTTATAAAAGCATGTCTAAGCTTATTATGTCTTAATATTATCTCAATAGGCACCATATTCAGCACACCTTTTGTCATAAATACTTTTTTTATTAAAGCTCCTATGTAAGGGAACCAGGCGAAAATATATACAGAAAATATGACAATTAAAAAAAGACAAAAGTTAATTTAATCTATCATAATTTTAAAATTTAAATATGATTTTATATTATTTTCATAAATTTTATCCATTTAATAAATACATGGAATAATAAAAATCATTAAATTTCCAATTTCTGTATATAATTTGCTTTAAAGTCCGTTTATAGCATATTCTTTTTTATTTTAATTATTATCAAATAGATTTATATAATTTAATATTTATGTTCCACTTACACTAATTTAGTTAATTACTCTTTCCAAACTTTTATCTAAAATAGAAATATCTTTACATGATATTTAATATACATCTGAAATTGTTAGAGAAGAATATTAACAGACAGATTCAAAGTTTATTTTTTGAAACAAATATTTATATTCATTAAAATAAGTAGGAAAATTAAATTTAAAACTATTTATTATGTCTTTGTCATTATTTATTATTTCTAAATAATATTAATCTAATAAAAAATTTCCAGTATTTTTATCATTTAAATGTTAAAGACTATATAGGTTTTCTTGTAAAAATATTTAATAATATTTCAAAACAAACGGCCTTATTTTAATATACTAATTATGTTTCAGGATATTAAATAAGTTATCCTAAAAATTTTTTTCAAAAGTAATAAAATTTATCAAGAAATAAGAAATAAATATAAAAGAAAAAAAAGATAATTAAAATATAACAAGATTACTAAAATAATTAAAAAAAATTATATATATATATGATATATAAAATAATATATAATATTATATATATTTATATATTTTTATATTTATATATTTATATATTTATTTTATTTATATTTATTTTCATTATTTTTTAATTACTTCTTATTATTTTTTGAAACTAAATTTTTTTAATTTTCTTCATTTTCTTATTAATTGTTTTCAATTAATTTATTTTTATTAATTTATTACATATTATCTGTATTTATTGTATTATTTTTTATTAGGCTTTATTATTCTTTTTAATTTATTTCATCTTTTACATTTGAATTTTCATTATTTATATACAATATACTAATATTATTATTATTACTCTGTATTGTATTACTATTAATTATTAATCTATTTTTATTCTATATATTTTTTCTTTCAATATATGTTTTTATATATTCATCACATTTATTCGCAAAAATTTCTAATTCTTTTATTGGTACTGCAGCAAAGAATCCTAAAACACCATAACTTGATTTTTAAACATTAATTATAATAGGTATAATAATTATTAAAGAAAATGTAATTAGAAAGATTGCAATAATCATTATAATCATAAATATATCAAAAAAATTATCAATTAAACTTATGTAAAAATTATTATATATCAAAGCCAATTATTCAGCACCTTACCTTATGGAAAAAAGACCGTTTTAATTAACATAATAAAAATATTATTATGTATAACTATATTCATTTTAATTCAATTATATAAAATCTGTTAATGTAGAATTTGCAAGTCCGCCAGATTAAGCAATATAAAAGTTTATTGCATCAGTATAATTGGTATTCACGTTAATAGTAGTACCGTTTGATAAAATTTTCTTTTAAATATATATATATATATATATATATATATATATAAATATATATATATATTTAAATATATAAAATTATATTTATACTTGTGTATTTATTTCTATAGTGTTTATATCATATCCTTATCTTCTTTCAATATTAATTTTTGCTTTAACAACATCTTATTATAACTAATTCAATATTTAAATTTTCTAATCTAATAAATTTTATAAAACTTTACTTATTATTTATTTATTTTAATTTTCGTAACCACTAAAATTAATTATTTTATATTTTAATTTTATTATAATAATATTATATACTTGCTTATAAGCCATATTTTTCTTGTTATAAAATTAACTTCTGCAATTAAATAATTTGTATTAAAAGCAGAATAAACAGCTTCTATTCCGTCATTAATTGCCTATTGCTGTTCAGATTTAATAATAAATTCTGATGATGTTATAATAATTAAAGATAAAAAAATAAAGCCAACACTAATTTATAAATTTTTAATTGATTTTGGAATTTTATATTAAGAAATGGAAGATTTAATATCTTTTAATTGTCTTATTTCTTCAGATTCATTTTATTAAAAATTACTACTTAGCTTTTAATCGTAATTATTTTCATCTATTAGATTAACTTGTTTTTAATTTTCGTTATTATTACTGATTGGATTCCTACTTTAATCATCATCTTTATTTTTTATATCTAAATTTTTATTATCACTTAATTTTTTTTCAATTTATATTATTTAACTTTATTCTTATGTTTATTTTTAATATTAGGTTTATCCAACCAAATTTTATTGATCACTTAAAATTATTTTTACTTATTAATCACTTTCAATAAATTTTATTATATGTATTTTCGTTTACTTTTTTGTTTTTAAATATTTTTTATTATATAAAGATATTTTAAAATTTTATTAACTTTTTATTATTACCTAATATACGAATTCTTCTTCTAACCAAACATTAATTTAGGCTTTTTTGTATTTATTTTAATTAAAATTAAAAGTAGTATCTTTTTCAACTTCTAAATTATTTTAACTATATAAATTATCTTCTAGACTTTATTATGAGATTAAGAATATATCTCCAATTATTGTAGTATCCATGGTTATTTATGCTCCATTATTTGTACTCATTTACAATAATATTTCAGGTTGAATTATTTAAGGACATATTAAATCAATTGTAAATTAATTACTCATAGGACTATTATTATTAATCAAAGATGTAGGTATTCCAAAATTTTAGTAACACCCTTATGTAATACCTTTAAATAAATCAGGACAAATTATATATAACATATATATTTTTGTAAAAAAAAAAAAAGTTACCAACTAATACTTAGTTTTATTTATCTTCTTCAACTTTATAAATTAAGTAATTATAAATTTAATCTTAATTATCATCATTTCTCTTATAAGGACTGCAATATATTTCATCTATTTCTTTAAAAAATCCGACAAACTATAATCCTTCCTCGAGATTAGGTAATATTTTTATCATTAACAAACAAGGAATTATAAATCCATCCTTATTAACAGGAGTTATCAATCTTTCAAAGCCAATAGCCTTTGGAATTGAAGTTTCGATATAATTTGAGACTAGATTATCATGAATTGATTAAATTAACTTAGGCATTATATAATTTTTAATATTTTAATTTATTATTTCTTATTTTGGCCATCCTAAAATTCTAGTAAAATCTTTTTTTAAAAAAAAACAAAAAAAACAAAATAAAAAGTAAAAAGTAAAAAGAAATAAGGTAAAAAATTAAGTAAAGTTTACCATAATTTGTATTTTAAACATAAAATTTTGTGGAAATATTTGCACTCATTAATAAAATTCCTGTGTTTGAATTTTCGTTATATTTCATGTTTTAATTATCCCCTAATTATTTAGTAACTACTGCACTTTTACTAATATAAGCTGCCTATTCGAAATATTCTTAAGCCATAATCTCATTGTTTATAATATTCTTTACAAAATATCCATAAATCAATAATGATCTAATATTATTTTATCTTATTAAACATAAAGTACTATAGCATTATTAAACATCTTCTATAGTATAAGTAATTCTACTACCTATAATTTAAAGTTTTTCTACATCAGGGGATTCTTCTAATAATTCTCTCCAAAACTCTAAATGCATATTAACTGATATTTCAAGTGATTTTATAAACTTAACGAATTATCCCTCATAATGTACGATTCCGTTTACGTCTACATCTTTATTTTATTCGTTTCTCATATCAGTATCAATTATGTCGATTTCTATTATATTTCGGTAACGAACCATTGCAAATTATTCTTTTATTGTTGATTTATGCGTTTCTGCGATCATCATTTCTGTTAAGGCACGAAATTTTAATTTAAGTTTTTCATGGTAAATATAGGCGTTTAATAAATTTAATTTAGCACTTTTTATGTATTTTTTTTGTAATACATTTATTATAGATTTGAGAAATAAATACCATTTTAATTCTTCGCTTTAAATTAAAAAATGTTTAAAAATATTTTTTCTATAAAAAAAAAATATTTTTACTTGTCTTCATTTCCTTTAAAAATTTCTATATTACAACATTTACTTTTGTCTATTAATATTGAACAAGGACAAATTTCAGAATTTTCTTTACACTTTTAATTATGAATTTTTAATATCCCTTCAAGTAATATATTAGAAATTCTATTCTTTCTATTTTCTATTAAATTAGATAGAATAAGAAAATAACATTCCATATCTTCTGGCTTTTTTATCTCAGAAGAAAAAAGTATACAATATTTTTTATTTTTTAACTGAATAAGATTATAGAATAATACATTAATTGAAGGAAAGCCAGCTAATAAATAAAATAATGTTCCATTTAAATTTTTAATATTTCCTTAATTTTTTAATAAACCTTAAATATAACAACAAGCAGATATCCAAAATAAGCTAACTTCACATACTATACTAAATATTGCTGTATTCTATGTGTAATATGGCATTTTATTATATAATTCTAATAAAAAAACTAAAGTAAAAAATATAATTATTAATTATAAGTTATTCTAAATAGATGCTTTATGATCTAAAGCAAAGTAGGAAGATAATAATATTTTTAATATTAATTTAATTTGGCATATATAATTAGGCTAAGAAGCATAAGAAACTTTTGAAAACGGGTTTATATCATTCATTAAAAGAATAAAAATAAAACAAAAAAAAAATTATATAATTATAGCTAATATTGTTATAACAACTTAAATAAAATACATTTCGTTATAACATGTTATATCTTCAAATTTTTTTTAATTACATAATAATATATTTATAAAAATATCAAAAAAAGGAAGAGGTTGTATTGTTTTTACTAGAGTTCCGTAAAAAGAAAGAAATTTGCAAGAATAGCTTAATAATCCTATAATTGTTCTTTTATTATTTATAATTTTTAAAAATACTAAAAAAACTTAATTAATTTTACTTTTTTTTTTATTTCTTGAAACATATAAATGATATAATAAATATTATCAAAACTATTAGATTTAGCCCGAAAAGAAAATACCCAATATTTATTATAAGTTATCCATTACCTTAATTTATTATTGCTTAGAACTTAGAATTTATAAAATTTTTTTTTTTAATTTAATAATTTATATAATTATTTATGTATTTACTTAGACATAGCCAAATATATTTTGTACAGTACTAATAATATTGCTATCCCAAATATATTTTAATTAAGGATGAAGAGAAAAGTAAATAAATTATATTGATTCTATTATTAGAAGAATTCTAAAAAGAAATGGTGAAACAATATTTACATCAATTAAGTAATTAGTAAATTAAAAAAATTGAAGTTTTATTTCATTTAAAATTATTTCTAAATTAGATAAATCTTCATAAACTAATTTTTTATTTTACATAATCATTTTTAAATAATTGCTTATTTTATAAATTAAATTTTTTATATTATTAAAACAATTCCTTTTTGAAATCAAAATATAAAAAATCAATCAATTTTGTTTGTATGTTTAAATTATTATTATATTATAATATTTCTAAATTTTAAATCTAATTAAGTTTAATTTATAAATTATATTTATTTATATTAAATAATTTTTTTTTATATAAATCTAAAATTAAATATAGACTATAAAAATGGATTGTTATTGTGCTTCTAAAAATTTATATAAATTTGACTAAAATAAATAATTCTTATATAAAAATTAATTAGATGGATAATTTTAATCTTATTAATATTAAAGGTAATTAGACAATAAAATATTAAATCCTTATTAGTCTAAATATTATAATATATATAATTAAATACTTGAATAAGGATCATATCCTTATTAAGATATTAGTTCTATAGAATTTGAAGAAATACAATAAAATCCATTTAAATTTTATAAAGAATATATACAGTTAAATAAGCCATGTAAAATATTAAACGCTATAAAAGATTGGTCTGCATTAAAAAAATGGGAAGATACATAATACTTATTAAATAAAATGAGCAATAATTAAATTACAATTGATATAACACCACATGGATTTGCGGATTCAATCTATAACTAATTTTTTGCACAACCATTATAAAAAAAAGGAAATTTCGAATAGTTTTTAAAACTTAAAGATAATAGAAATTGCGTAGCTTATATTTAGAAATAAAACGATAATTTAAGTTAAGAATTTAATTTTTTAATTGAAGATATTACTAATAAAACTAATTAAAAGGACATAAAAAATTACTTTTAGGAAAACTTTTTTAATAATTAAGAACCGGACGCAGTTAACTTTTGGATGGGTCAAAGTGATACTGTATCTGCTCTTCATAAAGATCCATATGAAAATATTTATGCAGTTATTTAAGGAGAAAAACATTTTACATTAGCGCCTCCAACTATATACCCTTTTACTGGGTATAAACCTTATAAAAACTGTATATGGAAATCAAATGAAGATTTTTCGTAATGGTGGCTTGAGTCAATTAATTATAATAATATAAAATAAGAAAATGAATAAAACTAATATGATGAAACTTTTTGGTGTACATATAATCCAGATCTTGAAGAAGATTATGAAAAGCATTTTAAAAACTTACCTTTGTATCATGTAATTATCAAAAAAGGAGAAGTTCTGTATTTACCATCTTTATGGTACCATTAGGTTACTTAATATTCATAGTAAAATTAATATATAATTGCAGTTAATTTTTGGTATGATATGTAATTTGATCATAAATATTAATTATTTGAAACAATTAAAAATTTAGCTGATTTATAAGAGTGAAGTATAACTAATTCTTTTAGAAAAAAAAAAAAAAAAAGTTAAAAATAAAATATATTTTTTTTTTTTCTAAACTTGAAAAATAAAGAAAAATTTAAAATATAAAGTTTATTATTTAATTCTTATATTTTATGTTATATATTATTCTTAATTAATTAAAAATTAATTTTAATGTATATTAAAATTACTATATATTTTTCATATTTAAAATAATTAAATGATCTATGTTTGTTATTTTTTTAATGAAAACAGATTAATGAAACTTTAAGTATTAATGTTATTTTTTCATTTTATTTCTACTTCTTCATGTTTCTATATTAATTTTGTTGTTGCTTAGTTTAATACGCAAAAATAGAATAATCTAATTTTCTTATATTCTATAGCAAAAAAATCAATTAATTAAAAAAAAGATTATATCTTCTTTAAATATAATATCATAATTCAATAATTTTTTAATATATTTATATATAAAAAATTAAACTAATAAAAATAAAAAGAGTTTATTCTAATGAAAAATTTTTAAATAGTTTTTTTTTGAAAATGATTATTTCAATTTTGCTCTATTTAATGAAATTTAAAGAAAAAAGCTAAACTCACGTAAGAAAATAAAAATAAAATAAATAATACAAATACCTTAATGATAAAAATATTCAGAATTTTGACGATTAAATTGGAAATTCCATGCATAATAGAAATTCAAAATTCAAAAATGAATTATTAAAATCATAAAATAAAATGTTAACTGAAAATAAAAATAATACTAAATTAGAAAAAAATAATAATATTTATAAAAAAACCTGCCTTAAAACTCCATAAATCGAAATTGAGGAATATATCCTAAAAATTACTATAAAAATGATAAAAAATAAGTATAAAGACATCAAATTATTGCCTAAGAACATTAAGATACATTTCAATAAGAAGATAAAAATCTATTAAGGATTTATTAGTTAAAAAAAATTAGAGAAATTTTAATAACTATTAAGATAATAAATCTTATAAATTGTTAATTTGTAAAAAATGATTAAAATTTAACAAAAGGATAATTATTATATGAATAAATTATTTAAGAAGAAATAGTTTGTAAATAAATTATATAATACTTATTTGATTTTCCAAGTATTTTTCATATTCTATTTTTTGTTTCTAATTTTTTTATATTTTAATTTAATTTAGATAAATTATAATTAATATAAAAAACATTAATCAAAAGAAAAATAATATTGAAATATAATAAATATTGATAACTTTTATTTAATAAATGTAAAATTTATATAAAATAAATATCTTATTTATTTCATATATATTTTTGGTTTGCTAAAATCTATTTACAATCATATAATAGTTAAAAGATATTTTGTACAATTTTTTGTTTTTTTTTAAAAAAAGATAGATAGATAAATAAAAAAAAACCTGTTTAATTTTATAAAAATAAAAATAACCTGTTATATTGAATATAAATAAAAAAACTGTTGAATTGTATATAAATAAAAAAAATCTATATATAAAAAATGTCTATTCCCAATATAAACTCTTCTGATATATCCGGTAACCTTTATAATTCTAAATTTCAAAAATTACTAATGACTCTAAACGAATCTACTTAACCATAAGAATACTAAGACCCTTAATTTCCTCCTACCTTTTAATCAATATGTAAAGACGATTAAAAATTATAATAAAATCCTTATTATTCTAAAATAATATGGTTACATCCTTCTAAAATCGCCAAATACGAAAATTGTTAATTATTCAAAGATAAAATCGAGCCAAATGATATTCGTTAAGGATTTTTAGGAAATTGTTATTTTTTATCCACATTATCTTCTTTGGCAGAAACTCCGAGTAGAATCGAGAGACTTTTTTCGCATCATATAGAGAATTCTCACGGAGTATATTGTGTAAAAATATGTCATAAAGGTTATTGGAAAGAAGTTATAGTAGACTAGTTTATTCCTTGCTTAAATTCGACAAAATAACCAGCATTTACTAGAGGTGTAGATGGTGAAATTTGGGTAATGATACTAGAAAAAGCCTGGGCTAAACTCTATGGATCATACGATAATATTGAAAGTGGGTTAACTAGAGAATGCCTGCATGATTTAACTTGCGCTCCGACTTAAACTATTTGGTTAGATGGGTCTGATGATCTTGAATTAGTTTGGAAAAAGCTACTTTATGCGGAAAAGAGTAATTTTGCAATGACTTGTAGTTCTAAAGCGGAAATTAATGATGATGATTTGTAAAAAATGGGAATTGTAAAGGCTCATGCGTATTCTTTGTTGTCTGCTTATGATTTAGATATAGGAGGGAATGATGTAAAATTACTAAAATTAAGGAATCCATGGGGGGACGGGGAATGGAAAGGAAAATGGAACGATAATGATGAAGACTTAATGAAATTAAATGAAGAAAATTAAAGGAAAATCGGCTTTGTATAGAATTCAAGGGATGGCACTTTTTTCATATAATGGGAAGATTTTATTAAGTATTTTTCTAATTTATAAATTTGCTATATTTTTGATGATTTCAAATATTCTTCTATATTAGTAAATATTTAGAAATAAAAAGGGAAGTTTTTTGCATTTAAAGTTAATTAAAAAGGAAAATATTTCATTACAGTAAATTAAACTTCTAAAAGATAATACCCTAAGGAAAAATAAGCAACTTTTTAATACTCGACAGTAACTATATTATTAATTGAGAGTAAAAATGGTACTTTTTCAATAGTAGAGGGATAATAGGGAGCAGATAGGGAAGTTTGGACATCCGAAAGTCAATAAGCGGTTCTAGAAGTAGGCGATTATATAATTTTTGTGAAGGTTTAGTGGAAATATGAGGATTGTAATAGCTTTACTTTAAGTTCTTATGGTGCAGATATGCCTGGATTGCTTTAAGAAATATAAAAGCCTAATAATTTTATTTTATAAGAAGCTTATTTTGAACATGCGAAAGATAATTAAAACTTGAAAACTAAAAAAATACTAAAAGAATGGGTCTTGGACGATGTTCAATTAAACTGATGATGGGTATTTTTATGTTGTGGCGGAAAATTTATCAAGTTTAGAAATGAAATGTGAGTTCTAATTTAAGTAGATGAATGGAATGAAACTAAAGAAGCCGTTTTAGGGAAATAGGGCGGAGTTTTTACTTAAACCGAGAGAACATTAGGTAATTTTAATTAGAATTAAAAATTATAATAGGATTTAGAAAGGAATTATATACTCATAGTCTATATAGTTTTTATGATAAAGAATTATTTAAAAAAATATTATTTTATTTTTAAGTAGAAATTTATTTATTTTTTTATAATTTTAGTTTTTTATTGATTAAAAAAAAATATAAAAGTATATATATAATTAGTAGTATAAAAATTGCAATTAATTAAAAAAATAAAATAATAAAAATGCCGAAAATAGGAGGAAAAGAGTACGTTTTTTAATTTCTTTCTTTATTTTTCTTTTATTGGAATCTTATATAAATTAAAATAATAGAAAAAGCAAGAACTCATAAAGAATATGGGCCAGAAGGTGATCCTGTAATAGGCTAGATTCCAAAGTGTAAAAAAAATAGATTGAAATATAAATATATATAAAAACATAAAAGCTTTTGTATTTAAAAGAGGAAAAGTAAGTAAAGACTTAAGATAAATAGTAACTGATTATAGGGAAATAATGTATCCTTATACAGGATATAAATTATAGGTAAACTAGTAAATATATGAAAAATAAAATAAATAAAAAAAGGAATCTGATAAAACTAAAATTAAAGATTATATAGCCACAAGTAGTGTTTATGGAATTTCGCATATGGTTATTATTACATCAACAGAAAAGCGTAAAATATAAACATAATTATATATATATAAAAAAAAATAGATAATTATATAAGATTTATTAAAAATCCTGAAGGACCTACTATTACATTTAAAATAATATCATATTGTAATAAAAGGTAAAAAAAAAAAAAAAATTTGAAATCATAATATTTTTTTTTTTTAAAAAAAAAAAGTGATGTATTAAATTCTAGTAAAAGAAATAAAAACTTTTCAAGACAATTTAATCCAGCAATACTTATTTTAAATGGATTTAATAAATAACCAAACTAAAATAAAGTTAAAAATCCTCCTACTTTAGCATAATAATAAATAGCAGCTTAAATGATATAATCAATGTTCCCTCCTTTATCACTTAAAAAAGTAAATAAAAACATTAAATAAATAATATATATATATATATATATATATATATATATTATATATATAGAAAAAAATAAAAAATAGACTAAATTAAGTACTTTATAAAGAGTTATTTTATTTAGTTATGATGATGAAAAGGACATAGTAAATATGCGCCATTATTAAATAAAATTAGTTCCTTCAGGAGTGAATAGAAATGTTTTTTTTTTTTAATTAATAAATATAAAATATTTAATATTTTAAGATGAAAAAAGTCATAAGAAATGATAAAAAAGTACCAAATTTAAGTAAATATAATAGCTTTGCTGATTTTGTAAATCAAAAAAATAATGCAATGAGTGAAAGTGAAATCGATGAACTTCCTGATTCAAAAATGATATTTAATAAAAATTAAAATCTAATGAAACATTTAAAAAATAATATTAAATAAGATTATATGTAAATTTTTTATTTAAAAAAAAAAAAGAATATAAATTAATTATATTTATAAAGGAAACTGGACCAAGATTAAAATTAAGACTTTATAAAATCGAAGAAGGTCTATTAAGAGGAAATGTAGTTTATAATAGAAGAATTGTTAAAACTGAAGAAGAAATAGAAAAATAAAGAAAGGAAGTTTTCAAAAAACAGCTTGAGAAAGAAAAAAGAAGAAAAGATTAAGAAAAAAGAGTTAGAGAAAAGGAGAAATTATTAAAATAAAAAGTAATTTTTTAATAAAAACAAAAAAATATAAAAACATATAAATTTCTAGCTAAGAGAAAAAGAATAAAAAAGATTACTTAAATAACAAAATAGAAATAAATAAGAATAATAATATTAACAGGAAGAAGAAGAAAATGAAGAAGATTAATAAACTATCTAATCCAATATTAATTCCGACGATGAATTATCTGCACTTGAATAAGAATTGAACGATATCTAAAATTAAGATGATGGTAATGATGATGATTAATAAATGAAAATGATGATGTAGATGTTGATGATAGTAATCAAGATATAAATGAAGATTATGAAGATATAGATGATAATCATAATGATGATGAAGAAGAATAAGATATAATAGAACCTAAAAAAATAAAAAAATATAAAAAAAATTGAATATATTAATAATTATGTTTTTTAATTATTTTAATAATATTTAAGTTAACATATAAAATAAAAACGTAAAAAAAAATAATTAAACTATTAAAAATAATATTGAAATATGTATTTAAAAAAAATAAAAAAATATTTAAACAATATAATTTAAAGAATAAACAAATACTTTTTTATTATATTATTAAAAATAAAAAAAAATGTAGAAAAAACAATATTAACAAAAACAATAATAATAATAATCTTTTTTCGAATAAATAGAAAACCTAAGAATTGAAACATCGTAGACTTTAGAAAGTATAAATAAATTATCAAAATTTTTGGAAAAATATAGTAGTGATAAAGTATAATAATTATAAATATTAATAAATATGTTATAAAAAACATATGAAAAATATATAAATATATAAATATATAAATATATAAATATATAAATATATAAATATATATATATTTATATTTATATATATTTAATTAGCGTGTTAAAATTTAAGAAGGATGGCTAAGAATAAGAGAAGATTCAATGTAATCATTATAAAGAAAATGTTAAAATATAGAAAAAGAAATGAAGTTGAATTTTGAAAAATTTGAGTAATTATTTGACAATTTAAACGCTTAAAATGAAATTAATTAAATATAATTTGAAATTGAAAAAAATAAAATATTTAATATTAAATAAAAATATTAAACTAAAACAAATTTCTTAACAAAACTTCTTGAAAAAACTAAAAAGGAATGGCTCGAAACTTTGAATTAAATCGAAAAAAATACGCATTATTATAATTAAGAAATTTAATATTAATAAGAAGAATATTAAAAAAAAATAAAAGAAATTGAAAAAGATTTTTATTAAAAAATATAAGATATGGATATTTTTATTTAAAAAATTAAATAAAATTCTTAAATATATATATAAGTAAACTCTAAAAATATAATCGATAATCATTTTAACAATAATAAAGATTAAAAATCCGCTTCCATTGTAAAATAAGAAGAGTGTTGGGATTCTTCTTTAGATAGTAAATCTTCTAATGGTAAGTCTATAGATATTTAAGAGTAAATCAAAAGAGTTATTTTCTATTTATTTGAATATATTGATTATTTAAAATAATTAAGTCTATTAGAGGAGGATTAAAAAATAGCAAATATTGAAGTATTTATTTATTAATAATTAAAATATATAAGTATAATAAAAGTATTTATCTTAAATGATTTGTATGAAATTAAAAAGCTCACTAAAAAATGATGATAAATAAAAATAAGAAAATAAAAAGGATGTTTCATATTCTCAATTAATGGCTATAAATGCTGAAGAAGAGTGGTCTTTTTAAAGTTAGTAAAATTATTTAATTAAAATAAATTAATAATACATATAATATAAATAAATATATATAAATATATAAATATATAAATATATATGTATATATGTATATATGTATATATATTTTTAAGATTACCTCCTTTAAGTTCTACCAGCAAAAACAATAATAATTTTGAAATAGAATTTAAATAGCATGTTTCAAAATGTGATATTATGAAGGTAAATTATTTAGAAGAAGAACTTGAATTAAATATGGCAAATAATTATGAATATAACTTATAAGAAACAATCATTTGAATAAAATATAAAAAATTACTATAAATTTTGTACATAAAAAAGTTAAAATTAATTAATAAATATAATTATAAAAAATTTGATATTATATATTTGTAAAAAAAATAAAAAACATATTAAAAAAATATGGAAAATGATTGTTTTGAAATATAAGCTATGTTAATAGAAATAAGTTAAAATCCAACATAATTTGCATAATTGTAAATTTATCAAAACATATATAGATATATTTATATATATGTATATATATATATATATATATATATATATTTATATATATTTATATATATATATATATATATATATTTATCTATATTTTATTTTAGTTTTTAAAAAAATCCTTAATATATTTTATATATGCATGATTTATTGTTTACTGAATATTAAACTCAGAAAAAAACATCATTAAAAATTCTTAAACACCTTTCTGATATCCATTCAATTTATTTTTAAAATCCGTTTTTAATTTAAAATATTTTTTAAGTTTTAAAACCTAATCTTTCCTAAATTTCTTGTCAAGTATTTTCATAATTGTTATTACCATTAATTACACCTTGTGGTTTTTTATTTTCCTATTTAAAAGAAGAATAAGTATAAAATCTTCTTTAGAATATTTAAAACAAATCTATCGCAAATATTATATTTGAAATATTGAGTAAATTAGGTTGTTAAAATAATAATGAAGATACTTTTTGTGATATTAGGAAGCATATCTTTCAAGAAGTACTATATAAATATAATAGAGGCTCTTTAATTGAAAAAGAAAGTGTATATATTATAATAGAGGGCATTTTTTAACAACTTTTAATTGATAAAAAAAGCAAATATTTGAAGATATTAAAAAATTAGATTTACAAAAAAAATAATCTTTTGATTTTTTTGGATTTTTTAGAATAAGAAAGGAGTCCTGATATTTAAATTAGTGTTAATATTTTAAATATTTTATTTAGTTATTATAACCTACGTAAAGCCTAAAAACCGAAAAAATAGTTTTTTGTTGAAAAGGATATTTTTTTGGAAAAAATAAAAAAAATTTAGAGAAAAATTATGGATTCTTTATCCTGTTTTAATTTAGGAATTTTAAAAATTATTGAACTTTTTTGGCATATTTTGAAAACTGGAGATGAAGATTTTATAAAGGAAATTTTTTAATGTGGTCTTTTGAAAGTTTTGATTCTTTTTTTGAGGGAATATCCTTAAAATAATATATTATAGATATATATCGAGCGTATTTATGTTGAATATTTTAATTTTTTGACTAAAAATGAAAATCTAGTAAATGTAGATGAAGATTTAGAAACTATATTGGAGTTTATTATGGAATTTTGTGTAAAAAATGAAGGATGTGATGGATTTTGCGTGAATATGGCACAGAAAATTTAAAAGAATTTACAAATTTATGTTCAAACTAACACTAAATGGATGTAGTTTTTTTAAGGATAATTTTAATAGATTTTAAATATTTAAAATGTGACTCTTGGTAAAGATTATAAAATAATTTTAGAAGAAGAAAAAATAAAGAATTAAATTTTATTAAAAGAGGAACTATATAAAATTTATTTAGTAAATTTTAAAAATAATATATATAATAATTAAAAAAAAAAAATTTTTAGAAATTTGATACTTATTTTAAAAAGTAAGAAAATGAAAATATTTTATATGATGATGAAGATTATTCACTAGAAGATATTTGCATATAAGAAGAAAATGAAAAAGAATTCGAATAAATTTAACTATAAAAAAAAAATACTTAAACATTATAAGAATTAATTTAAGAACAGTGATATAGCTTTTATATATAAATATATATATATATATATATATATATATATATATATATATATATATATATATATATATATAAATATATATTTTAATAATTAATTAATATACATACTAATAATTTTATTTGATTATTTCTTTAATCATAATGTTTTAACAATATAAATAAAGTTTTTTTCTTAATGTCAAATTTATAATTTACTTAATAATTATTTTATTCTTCTTTATTTTAGATTTAATATATATTTATTTTATATTTTATATTTAAGTATATTATTTTAAAGGATTTTTATTATTGATATCATTTGTATTTTTTATTTTTATTTTAAAAAGTTTATTTCTTTTTAAATATTATTATATTTTGAGATTATTTAGCTATATATAATATTTTTTATTTAAAATGTATTTATATGTATACATATATATTTTTTGATTATAGTTTTAATTAGATATAAATTAAATAATTATTTTTTATAATGTTAATATTTTTTTTTGCTTTTATTAATTTTAAGAGCTTATTAAATAATTATTATTATTTTCTCCAATATTATTTATTCGTTATTTAATACATCCAATTTAATTTACTGTATAAGTAAAAACATCATTAGTAATTATCAAATAATAATACAAATTACATATTTTTTTAGTTTAAAGTAAAAAATCTCCATATCTAAAACAGTAATCATCTTAAAATTAAATATATATTAAGTCAATCAATACTGCATGTACTATAATTAATTAAAAAATTCATTTTTTATTAATCAAGAGTTATTATCTTTATCAATAGCAATATACCCATATAAGAGTGAAAATACGGGCTATAAAATATAAAGTTAATAAAAGTTTTATTAAAAAAATCTTTTTATTATTAGATTAAAATATTCTATAACAATTTTCTTATAATAATAATAATTATTTGATCTTTTAAATATTAAAGAGGTATAAAAAAAGTGCAGAATAATATTTAATTATTTTTGATAAAAAATAATCTAAAAGAACAGAAATATTAGAAACAAAAATCCGTCGCGAAATTTTTTATTAAAACGAAATCTTAAATATAAATAATTTTCTTTTACAAAAACTCATTTTTTAAAATAATATTATTCCAGTATTAAAAAAAAATATAAGATATATAATTACGTAATATATTAGATAATATAATCTATAAAAAAAATTCAAGAATAAAATAATAAATTATAAATATATGTATAATAGATTTTATTATTATAATTTTTTTTTAAAGGAGTTAATTTTTTATATAAGAAAAAGCATTAAATTTTCGACATACAATATATAAAATTTTAAAAAATAGTTTAATTATTACAAGATGAATTAAATTAATTTAATTAGTTTTTAATTTATAAAGTTATTTTATTAGGTTTATATCCATTTTAAATATATATAAATATATAGTATTAGTATAAATAATTTTAAATAATTTTTTTATTAAAAAAAATATAATTAAAGAAAATATATTATATATAATAGGAAAATAAAAAATTATAAAAATAAAAATAAATGTTTTAAATCTTTATGTTATCAAATGTTTTTGTTAATTATTATTTTATAATAATAATAATTTTTAATTATAATTAAAGTGTAATTATAATAAGATTTAAGTGAATTTTGTTTAAAAAAGATAAAAATAAAGTTAAAAATATTAGATAATAATAATAAAAGTTTTATATACAAATAGATAAAATAAAAAATGAATAATATATTAAAATAATTAAATATATAGATATATATATATTTATATATATAATTAAATAGATTTTTTTTTTTTATTTATAATATTTTTTTTTTTTATTTAAACTTTATCAAATTTTTTATTATTTATTAAAATTTATATTTAATTTTCTCTTATAGTTTAATAATACTAACTTTTATATTAATATTTAATTATAAAAATATTTATATCTTTATTTGTTTTTTATATAAATTTTAAATCTAAAAATCTTTTAATATTATATAATATTTCTTTTATAAATTTTTATTTTAAAAATAATAGACATAAATTATATTATAAAATAAAATATTTAAAAAATTTTTTAATAAAAAGTTAAAATCAATTTTCATTTAACTAAATAGTATAATTTCATTTAAAAAATATAGTTTTTTTACCCTATAAAATATTATTTTAATTTTATAAAATTTAATTTTATAATAAAACATAAACTGGTTTGGACTAACTTTTTCCTTTACTAAAAAATTAACTATTTTTGAGTAATCCAATTTTTTCTTTTAATTAAACAGCAGTGTTTTCTTTATTTCTAGTTTCAAATTTTTAATTTAATTTATAATTACTATTATTATTTTAAGACATAAATAATCTTGGTGAGATTGATTCTTTTAAATTTTTTTCTTATTTTTTTTTAAAATTAAATAAAGTAAAAATAAAATTATTATTTTAATACTTTAATCAACAATTGAATTTTCCAAAGAACTTTATTTCAAAGGATTTATAATTATTTTATCAATAATATTTTATACTTCTTATTTAAGAACTAGTTCTTTTTAATCATTAGGCAATTATAAAACTAATAAATTAAGTTTTTTGTCTTATAATTCTTTCATTACTTATTTAACAAGGTAGTTAATAGGAATTTAGTTTAATTTTTTACTATTTATTTATATATAGTTTTATATTTCATTTTCTAAATTTTTAATTTTTTCTTCCAAAATTTATCTACCTTCATAATTTTCTTAACAATTTTTACTTATTTATGAAAATTCAAGATTAGAATTATAATTTGATTATTAAAGTTTAGATTATTTTAATTAATTTTAGAAAGATATAACATTTTAACGTTCATTATATTTTTTAGAGGATTAATTCAGATTTTAAGAATGCTTCTTTTGTAAAATAACTCCTTCAAAAGTTACTTATTTTTGGATTTTTTGACTTATATTTAAATCGTTCTCACTTTCTAACATATAATTACTTATCTATATTTATGAATTATTATTACTGTGTAAATTAATTTAAGAATTTTATTAGTTTAAAAAGTTTTTATTTTTAATATTTAAAGAAGAATTATTTATTCCAATTTTTTTTATTTATTTTTCATCAATTCCACTCATTTAATCGTCAAAATGCTTATTTTATTTAATAAAATAAAAATAATTTAAAATAATTAAATATATACATCCTAATTATCTATTGGTGTATTATTTAAAGTCTAACTTTAGTATTAAAAAGAAGGTTATTATATATAAAATTATATTTGTTTATTTGATTTGTCATTTTTTGATATTTATTATTTTATTAATTATTAATTCTATAGTTCTAAATTTAATATTTTATTTTAATAAGTTAAATTTTCTTAAATTTAATTTTTCATCATAATATTAGAACGTCTTGATTCTAATAATTATGATAATTAATATTAGGTATTTTCTTCTTTCAATTAACTATTTTATATATAAATAAAATCAAATACATAAAAATATTATATAAGTATAAAATATAACTTTTCTTTTTGTTAAAATAATTAATTTTATAATTCATTAATAGTAAAATATAAATTTTATTAAATTTAAAATTATTCTTAGTTTTTTATTTATTATTATTATTAAATATCTTATAATTGTGTTTTAAGCTCATCATTCTATAAATTAAATATAATATATATATATATATATATATATATATATATATATATATATATATATATAAACATTATATTTTTTTTATATAAATATATAATATATATAAATTTTACTTAATTTTGTAATTCAGAAATAATTTTTATATATTTTTATAATTTTAATTCTACATCTTATTCACAATATGATTTATCTTATATTAATTTTTATAGTTCCTTCCATGCTTTGTTCTTTTTTTTAAAAAAATATATAATTATATTATATATTAAAAATTTTATAATGTATATATATTTTAATAATTTTTTTTTTTTAACATTTTATACATAATAATAATTTTGATTTTGAATATAAGTAATAAAAATTATTTATAAATATTTTAAAAATTCTATTTTTTTGATTAAATTTATTAATATATACATAATAATATTTAATGTTAATAATATATTCATATTTATATATATAATATATTTTATTTAAAAAATATATACATAATTTAATTTTTAATTACTTGACAATTATTTGGGTCTAATGTATATTCATTTAGTGCTTTCATGAATGTTTCATTCATTTTTTGTAGATTTTCGTTTCTTGTTTTACTTTCATTTATTTATATTTAAAATAATTCTATTTATTATTAAAGTATAGCTTATTCTTTATTCCATTTTTATTCTTTTGATTTTAACTTAATATAATATTGTTATTAATAATATTTTTTTTATTTTAAACAAATTTTTAATATTATATATAATATTTTACTTAATATTATAAGTTATAATTTTAGTTTTTTAAATCTTAAATAACTTTATCATTTTGATTTTAATTTACTTATATTTCTTAAATATTTTATAAATTCATTTTTTTTTTTTATTTTTTTTAATAAAATATTACTATATTTATTGTTGATTTTTTTTTATTATTATTTTTATTTTTTATTTATTTTTAAATATATTTGTAAGTTGATTTTTTGTTATAATTATTATTAATATATTTAATTTTTAATATATTTAATGTTTACTTAAGAAGATAAAAAAAAAAATGCAATTTTAAATTTAAATCGTTTTTTATATATATTATTAACTATAAATATTTATTTTTTCAAATAAAAATTATTTGAATTTAAAAATATTTAATTAAAAAACAAATTTTTAAATTTTTTGAAAAAAACTCTATTAAACAAAAAATATATTATGATTATGTAATAAGTTTATATTATATATATAATTTTTTGAATTAATAAATAAATTATAACTAAATTAATTATTAATTAAAATATTTAATTTGTTAGAAATTGATATATAAATTAACTGCTTTGAATTAATTATATTAATAATAAATATATATTATTTTTAATTAAAATTAATATAAATCTATTTTTTTTTTATAATAAAATTTATAATATATAATAAGAATTTTATTAGGAATATAAATTTAATAAATAATATATTATAACTTTTTATTTGCTTTAAATTTATCATTTTACTTAGCTTATATTAAATTAATTTTTATTTTATTTATTTATTTTATTGATCACAATATTATTAGTTATTATAATTTTAGATTATTATATTATGCTAACATAACATATAATATTTTATCTTATTTTAAATAAAGGAATTTTAGAAAAATAATAATAATAATAAAACAAATTAAAAATTTTTTTTTTTTTTTTCTTAAAACAAATTAAATCATAAATTTTTATACATAAATTAATATATAATTTTTTATTAAAAAAAATAAAAATAATATTATAAATAAATGAGCAGAAACATTTATCATGGTTAATACCAATATAATTTAAATAGCTTATATGCAAATAAATACAGGCTAAGTAATTAAAATTAGTAATTATAATTATAACCTTAAACAGCAAAGAATTCTTTATAATTAGTAACAAAAAAAAATTATTAATTGGATAAATAATAAATAAAAAGCCAAATTATGATTAAATAGCAAAAAGAGAAATAAAATCAAATCCTTATAATAGTAATAATAAAAATAAAAATAAATAAAATTCAAATTTATTTATATAAAAAAAAGTAATAAACAATAAACGAAATATTACTCAAAACAATAAAAAGTATATATATATAAAGAAAAATAAAATAAAATATATATATATATATATATATATATATATATATATATATATATATTTAAATAAAGTGAAAAATTTCCAGATTTATAGTAATAAATTTTATGTACTCCTTAAATAAAATAAAATTAATAAATAACTCCTTCTAATTCTGAAACAAAAAGCAAACTTCCATCTCTAAATATATATAATCCAAGACAATAATATTAAAATTATGAATAAAAAAAACAAATTCCATATAATTTAAGTATTAATAATAGCTAATTATTTTAAAGTACGATAGGAAAAGGATAACAATAAAATTAAAAATTAAATAATTCTAATAATAATAATACTTTAGGTAAATTTGAATAACTTGTAAAAAACATTAAAATAAATAAAAAAAAAGCTTCTTTATTTTTAATTATATATAACAAAAAAAAATAAAAGGGAGGTTAAGTTAATTTTTTAAATTTTTAAATGAGAACAAAAGCAGGATGTACAGTTTAAAGGATGACAAAAATAAATTAAGATACAGCTATTTTGATTCCTAAAATTCTATAAGAAATTAATATTTATTAATTTTCAGTTTGTGATGGACATGGTTTTTAAATTTTTGCCTTTTTTTTTGTTTTAATTGAATATATATATATGTAGGTGAATATGGACATCTAGTATCATAATATATAAAAAATAATTTTCCTAAAATTCTTTATAAATACTTAAAAGAAAACGATACTTAAATAACACCTGATTATATCAAAAATTCCATACTTAGTGCTACAAAATAAACAAATTAGGAAATCTTTCAAAGTAATATTGACTCGTATTTAAGTGGTTCAACATTTGTTTCAGTTTTTATTCATGAAAATAAACTTTATTGCTCTAATGCAGGTGATTCTAGAGCCATAGTAGGCAAATAAACAAAAGGAGCATCCAATTTCTTCTTTCAAAATATATCCACAGACCACAAACCAAACTTAGAAAGAGAAAAGTTCAGAATATTAAAAGCTGGAGGACGTATATAATAACAAAGAGGTAATAAAATTAATATTATTATTCAAAAATAAAATAAAATAAAAATAATGAAATAGATTTAAGTGGATAACCAATAGGGCCACTTCGTGTTTGGTAATTTAAAAATGATATTCCAGGTTTAGCAATGACAAGAAGTTTAGGTGATAAAGCAGCTGCTATTGCAGGAGTTATTTGTGAACCAGGTATATAAATATTTTTGTAATTTTTATATTTATTTTTTTGCGGGGGGTTATGAAAAAGGTAGAAATATATGAAATGGATATTTAAGATGAAGATAAATTTATTATTGTGGCTTCAGATGGAGTTTGGGAACATTTAAATGATTAGTTTGTAATATATATTTAATTTTTTATAAAATTAGAATAATATGTTAAAAAAATATTGATTATAGGTAACTAATATTGTTGGATAGTTTTATAATAAAGGAGATTGCGATTTAGCAGCTGAAAAATTAATGATTGAATCTATAAAATCATGGAAAAAGGTTAATTATTTATTAAAATATTATTTTTAAAAATTATTAAATAAATAATTTAAATTTGTATATTAATTTATTATAATAAAATATTATATATATAAATAAATATTAAAATTTTATATATTAAATATTATTTTATGTATAATTTAATATTTTATATTATACATTTTATATTCGTATTATTTATTTTATATATTTATATATATATTATTAATATATTTTACATATATTATTATTATTATTATATGTATTTTTTTTAAATTATTATATATTTTAATTTTTTTATTTATATTTCATTTATTATAATTTATATTTTATTATTTATTTTTTTCTATACAAATTGTATAAATATTATTTTTAATAATCTTTATTTTTTTATTAGGAAAGCTTTTGTAGAGATGATATTACTTGCATTGTTATTTTTTTAAATAAAAATAGTTGAGTATTATATTTTTTATTTTTTGTTTTTATTATTTTTGGAATTTTTTTTAGTTTTTAATTACTGTTAATATTATATTTATATTTATTTTTATACTCTAAAATATATATTCTTTTATTATCTTAATTTATATATAATTAATATCATATATTTTAATTTTAATATATTAATTTTTTTTTAAAAAAAAATTACATTTTTTATTATTAAATAAATACTATTTAATTTTTGTTTTTTTATAAATTCCATTATTATTAAAGTAAAATAAGCAAATAATTTACATATGTACATATTCATATAAAATAAATCATTTATTTTTAATATTATTTTAGTTTTCATCAATTTATCCTGCATCTAAATTAGAATTAGTTTTTTCTCCCGGGTACATAACAAACATTATTAAAGTTGCAAAAATACACCCAGTGAAAATCAAAAATACGCTCCATTTATTCCACAAGAAAACTTCATAAACTACAAAAGGAGCAAGACTTCCAATTGATCTACCCATTGCGGCACAAAATCCTAATCCCATTGACCTATATAAAGTATCATATGACTCACCAATTAATGGTGCGGAAGCCAAAGTGGTAAATCTGGAGAAAAAAAGTAGACCCGCAAGGCCAAAAACTAATATTTTTTCTTAAAAAAAGTAAATAAATAATGTTGACAAACAACATAAAAATAAAGATAATTAAATAATTTTTAGTCTTCCGACTTTTTAAGTATCTATTAGAGCATAAACTACAAAAGAAGCCGGGATTTCACCTAAAGTAGCATAAAAGAAGTCTATAAGGCCAAATCCTTCGCTATGGAAAATAAAAGGAATAATAAAAGAACAGCCTGCTACTAGAAACTAAGTGTTTGAGTTAGCAACTGATAATCTCCATGTAATAGATAAATTATAGCCTTTAAAAAGGTCGAAAAATGAGGCTTTTTTGATATTTTGGAAGGCTTAAATTTACCAATTTTATAATTTTTCGATTTCGTTTTCTGTTATATTTACCCAGTTTTAGTTGTGGTTCATTTTTCCGATTTTATTTATCACTTTTATGCTTTCCTCGAGTCTGTTTTGGGCTAATAAATATCGAGGACTTTCTTCCATATAAATTAAACAGCCTAATGTCATTATAAATATCGGGATTAATTAACAAACTGCGATTCCTCTCCAATTACCTTCTTCGAGGCTTTTTAGGAAAATAAAACACAAAAATATTAAATAAAACTTCCCTAATAGGTGCGCGCTTTCGATTATAATCAGTGTTCGTCCACGTATTTCTTTAGGGCAAATTTCTGTTGATATTATTAAACCTATGGGAATAGTAAAGCCTACTACAAAACCATATAAGGCCCTTATAATGCACATTTGAATAAAGTTTTAGGCAAAAGCAGTCCATATAACAGTTATTAAGGTTACAAAATTACCGAATTGAGTCGTTTTGCGACGACCGTAGTAGTCGCAGGCGAAACCGGCTACTATTGCACCACAAAAAAGACCTATATAGTATAATGAACCTAATAATTCGATTTATATTGAATTTAAATTCCATTCTTTTTTTAATATTTGGACAAGAATTGTCATAAAGAAATTTTCAGAACCATCAACAAATTATATAAAAGATAAAAGGAAAAACATCTTTATTTTTTTTATAAATATTTTTGAATGTATTTTTTATTTTTTTTGTTACGATTATTTAATATTTTCCTAATTATAAACGATCAGATAAAATGTCGTCAAATGAAATTTAATTATGTATTTTTTTTTCTTTAGTTTCTATATAATCTATGAAATTATAACTCATTGATTTTTTTGTTTATTTGAATTTTTATTTTTTTTAATTGATTTATTTTTATTTGAGTATTTTTTTTGTTTTTATATTTATATTGAGTTTTTTTTTATTATTATTAAATAAGAAATAAGATATATTTAAAAAATATATAAATCATTTATTTATTTTTAATTATATATTTATAGATTGTTTATTTGTTGAAAAATTGAATTTTTTTTTTTTTTTTTAATTTAAAAAAAAATAATAAATTTTTCTATAAATATTTATAGAATAAAATTTTTTCATTTAATTTAATTATTTCTTATTATATTAATTTATTATACATTCAAGAAAAATATAAAATATTATAATTATTTAAAACAAAAATTAATTTTTTATATTTATATATTATTATTAACAAGAATAAATATATTAAGAATTCGAATATATATATTAAAAATTCATTTATTAATTTATTTTTTAGGTTTATATGAACCACAGCAAAAAAACATAATAAATTTATTCTTTTTAACTTCTTTAGTTACATTTTTTTAAGTTACCTTATTTTAAATATGTGAATCATGAAATCTATGTTTTAAGCAAACAACTAATTTACATTCTTAACATTAAAATTAATTTGAAATACTAATACTTTCTTTACATCCTTTAACAGGACATTTATTTTTATGTTTAGTAATTTGAATATTATTTTGCTATTATTTATAATTTTAGCAATTATGTTAATCAGGAAAATTATGCTTTTTGCAAAAATAATTACCACATTAAATACACTAAATTGGTAAAAAATCATTTAAATTACAAACATGACAATATTTACCAATTTCAATTTACATAATAGTCGTATTTTTTTTTATATTATTTTTAGGGAAAATTTATTTATATTTTTAATGAGATTTAAGTTTTTGTTTTTTTATTTTTACGTTTGTTTTATTTTGTTTATTTTTAATAAAGTTAATTAGTTAATTTTAATTATAATATAAATATTAAATTTTAATTTATTTATTGCAATAAATAAATGTTAGATATTTATAACTATTAATAATAAAGTTTCAATTAATATATATACTAAAATAAATATGTTAGAATTTATATTATTAATTGATTTTTATTTTATATAATTAATTATTAAATTAACTATTAATATCTTTAATTACCATTTATAATAGTTTAGCTATATTATAATAATTTGTATCTATTAAAGTTTTAACAAAAATATTAAAAAATAGTCTCTTTATAATCATCTACCAATTTAATTTCTTATTTTATTGATAATAAAAATTATCAATATATTTGTATGTTTAAATTTTTTATTAGTGATTAGTTTATAAATTGTCCTAATTTTATTATTAATCTCTTTTTATTAAGAGTTTTAAAATATTTTTTAATATAAAAAAAAAAAAATATTTATTATTAAAAAAATAAAAAAAAGATAATAATTTAAATAGTTATAAAAATAATTAAATATTAATATCTTATTATCTTTAACTCCATTTTTATTTTCTATTTGATATTTATTAATCTTTTAACTTTATTCATTTTATATATATATATTAATAAATATCATTTACCATTATTTAATTTTATATCTTTCTATTAAAAAATAAAAATTTTATTTACATACAAATAAAATATATAATATAAAATATTAAATCTTTTTTTCATTAAAAAAAAAAACTAATTCTATGCTTTAAAAATACTTATATTAAGGTAAAAACATTATTTATTTTAATTTAAAAAAAAAAAAAAAATTAAAAATTATAATTTTTTTTTTTTTTTTTTTTTTGTAAAAAATAAAAAAAAAAATCATTAGAAAAATTAATAAAAAAATAAAATAAAATTTTATTTTTTAAAATTTTAAAATAGTTTAAAACTATAATATAAATTTATGTAAATCTAATAATTATTTATTACAAAGCTATAAAATATTTAAAATATCTTAAATAATAATGTTTTTTTTTAATTATTTAAACTATAAATATTTAATCTAAATATTATAGAAATATGATTTTATTTTTATTTTTGCGTTATGCTATTTTTAATTTCTAATAAATGTAATAGATATTTTTAAAAAGAGAAAAAATTAATATATTTATTTGAAAAACTTTTATTTTACAAAAATAATAATATTTATAAAATATAAAAATATTTTATAAACTCATTTAAAGAAATAATTCGAATTGAATTTTAATAAATAAATATAATTAAACATTCCTTTTTTAACATTTTCATATTATTTTTATTAAAATTTATTTTTTATTATACGTATATAATAAAAGTCTTGATTAAATTAAATAAAAATATTTTTAATCAAATATTCAATAATTTAAATGATAAAAAATACATGAATCAAATATATAAATTTGTCTTATAATATTTTGGGGTGGGGAAAAAAAATAAAAATAATAAGTATTATTTTAAAAAAATACATTGATTTTTATATTAATAACATGCAAGAAAAAGATAAATTAAAATTAAAAAAAAATAAAAAAATAAGAAAAACAAATGAATAATTTTTTATAATGTTTTGAATTTCATTTATTAAAAAAGTTGGAGAAAATAGGATACTTAAAAAAAAAAAAGATATTAAAATAATTTATTTATATATAATAAAATTAATAAGCTTCTCTAATATATATAAAATAAACTAAATTAATGATATTAATGATAATTTTTTTAGTGTGGTAAAAAAATAAAAAAGTCAATAATATTAGATTTATTTTAATTATAAAAAAAAAGCAAAAAACAATAAAATAAAAAAAATTAAAAATAAAAAAAATATGAATAATTAATTACCTTGTCACAAAAAACCTTTTACTATAATAAAAAACTATCCTCGAAAAAAAAAACAATATAATTCGGCTACAAAAACACAAGAATACTAGTAAAAAAAATGCTTAAGTACAAATAAAATATTAAGAGAAAAACTAAGGTGCAATTCTGATCCAATAAAAACTAGTCAATTAATGCATTTGAAAAAAAGTATGAGCTAATAATATTTATAAAAACATAGAAAATATGTAAATCCAAGCATATTAAATTAATTAAATACAGGATTATAATAATAAAATTAGTCAAGAATTAATTTAAATAATAATTAAAATATGTAAGGTAATTAAAAAATAAAAGATATCAAATTTATCCAATAAGTGAATTTGATATAAAAAATAAATACATTGAGGACAATGTATAACTTAATTAAGAGTTAAATTTATAATATTAAAATTACGAAGATTTCTTAGAATAATGTAATAATAATAATAATAATAATAATAATAATAATAATAATAATAATAATAATAATATTAATAATAATAGTAATAATAATAATAATATTTAATAAAACTTTAATTATTTTAATAGTATAATATAAGATGATGATATGAATAGGTATTAATAATAATTATTCTATTAGCATAATGATTTAATTTTAAACTATAACCATTAATAGGAAAAAAATATCTTTTAAGACTATTATTGATATAAAATAAATAAAATAAAATTATTTATTGTTCACTGAAAAAAAAATATACATATATATTTATATATAAATTATATATACAAAGTAATAAATACTAGAATTTTTTTTAAAAAAAATGACATAAATATATAAAAATTAAAATGTTAATAAATATTTAATTATTATTATATAATACTATTAATTCATAATAATTATGTAAATGTATTTATAAATTTATTAAAAATAATCAATTTTATTAAACTTAAAATTCTATATATAAACAATATATTATGAACTTTTATAATTTATAATATCATAATCTAAGAAATTATTAAATACAATAATAATTAAGAATTATCTATTATTTATTAAATTTATATTTTACATATTTATTATTTTAATTACAAAATCCTTATAATTTATGCTTTTGATAGCAGGTATTTAAAAAATCATAAACATATAGAATTTCTATAAATACTTTATATTTTCAAAAAATTTATTTTAATAAAGAAATTTATACATACATACAATAATTAAAATCTGCAAAAAAAAATTATTAATCAAAATAATAGCATATATCCAATTAGTATATAATATAATCTACAAATGAATTTTAATAAAAAAATGGAATTTCTTCCCATAATAATGAAAATAGTTAATTAATATTCAGCAAATAATATATCATAAGTGTCAAAACTAAGTTCCTATATTTAAAATTTAATTCTTATTTATATAGTGTATTTGTATTTGGCTTATTTTTAAAAATAAAAAGTCTAAAAGTAAATATCTTTTGAAAATATTTTAAGAATTTTTAATACAATATTCATTCTCTCCCCCCCCCCCAATGTATTCAGCCAGAAAAAAACTCCATTAACCGCAGTGAATATTTATAAAAAGTAATAAAAAAAGTAAATTTATTATATTCTAGGACATAAGTAGCATAATTATATTAATTTTTAAATTAAATGAAATAAATTAATTTTAAGTTAGGAATAAACTTATGTTTATTTTTGTTATTAGTAGTAATAAATTTAATAATGTATACTAGTTTATATTTAATTTTATACCATTGTTATATTCTTGTTTTACTTTTTTTGTTTTATAAAACTATATCCATAATGAAAAAAAATAAAAATAATAATATTATCATATTATTTCTATTATTATATAGATATTTATAACTGTATATATTACGTATTTATTATGGTTTTGGGTTTTTAATAAATTCTTTTTATGGATACATATTACTTTTTAACTTAGTTTTTTTTTATATTTTTTTAATTTTATTTTTTAAAGCAAACTCAAAATAAAAAAAACATTTTTTCATTTTTACTTGTATTTTTAATTTTTCAATTGTCATTAATAAAAGATTATAGTAAAAATAATGTTAAAAAAAGTAATATAGTTATATAATTTTTAAACGTTTATATTTTCATGTTTTTTTGCTAAAGAATAAATAGTTATTTTAATCTTTTTTATATATAAA